ATAAACATAAAACTCATATATATATATATATATATATATATATATATATATATCAAATACTTAATGAGGTGCAAATAAAATATAGATAATCAAATAATAAAAAAGAGTAATGATATGACTAAAAAAAAAAACAAAGTAACGATATGTACTACAGTGCAGCAGCTACCTACAGGGGCGGACCTACGGAGGGATGGTGGGGCCCCCTCCAAAAATTTGAAGGAAAAAAAATCACGAACATGCAAAATGGCAAATGGCAATGGTGGAGATGCAGGCAAAATTGGTATGAAATTTTCGGAATGGGGCAATGATAAAAAGCGGCCTCCTTGTCTTCCAAAAAAAAGAAAAAAAGATGCCTCCTTACACACTTTCAGCATATCTCGGCCTCTGGGTTTTTTATTGTTGTTCCAGGCGATCTTGTCCCTCGCTAAGGGCAGATTCTTGTATTCAATAGATTGCAACAGAGTAAACCAATTTCTACGCTCAATGATAATGTCAGAATTCAGAACGAGAGGAGTAGGAAAAAAGAGAGAAAACAACGAGTCCTTTACTTTTCTGTAAAAAAGGGTGGCGCTGATAAACGATAATAAATGAGTGGATTGATGGGAAATGCCTTTGATGTTAAAAAAAGTAAAAAAAAAAAAAAAGGTAGTGTGCGCCGTCTTCGGAATGGGAAGAAAAATGATAAACTTTGCGATCCTTACACTGCATTTTTAACCTGTTGAGTAGGTCCATATTGAAATTTTGATATTGCAAATCGTTACAGGAAAATAGGATTATTCCGTGAAAATACATTTGCTACGAAAACCTGTGGTGGTTAGAGATTGATCAGTAAAAAATGTCAACCTCGGTCTCATATTTACAATTTGTAACTTGGCAGGCTCTCAACTTTATTAGTGAGGGCAGCGATAGTCACATCTTTCTCTTTTATAACGATAATCATTTTCTCCTCAGCATCTTCATTGTGCTTTTACGAGAGAGAGGTCTTCTTAGCAACTTCAACATGAGTTCAGATATATTTTGGTAATAAGAGATTAGTTAACGAACTGATTTAGTTTTTTTTTTTTTTCTATTTGAGTTGATTTTTCTCTCTCTAAGATTTGAGTTGGTGAACATAGTGATGCCATAGATGAATCACTTTCTAGAATAACTTTTTTCCAACTTCTATTTCAAGCAAGTTTCAGATCTTTAAATATCTTCCATAATTCAGAAGTTAAAGCATCACAAAAACCCATACTGTAAGAAAATGCATTAAACCATTTTTCATTTGACCCACGAATCAGCCCGCACAAACAGCCCTACCAAGATTACCCTTTGAAGCTTCATTTGTATTTAGCTTAATTCAATCAGCAATTGGCAGGGCCCATGTGACTAAAACCTCACCATATCCTCTTTCCATTTTCCCACCATTCATATCAGAGACAACAGTGCAAATTTCCAGCATTTTAAGCCTAACTACCTCGAGCTTATATCTACTTCCAGCCACACTTGAATCATGAACTATTTTATTCCTCCACCACCAAATCATCCAACAAGTAACACCAAAAATAGTCTCCCATTGAATGCCAAACAGCCTCAGCGATTTATGATTTAAATTATACATCATCCAGTCATGCAACTGTAAACCAAAAAAAGACAATGACAAGGTAGGAGAAAGCATCAGTCACCACAAATTTTTACTGTTAGAGCAATCCCTTAACATATGTGAAATAGTTTCCTCACCATGGTTGCAAACTGGACAAGTTGGATCTCCCACTTGGAGCCTATGCATTCTAGCTTTAGTTAGCAACCTGTCATATCCTACTTTCCAAAGAAAAATTCTTGTTCTTTGAGGGCCTTTCCACCTCCAAATAGCTTTCCATAATTCAGGTACTCTACTTTGTTGACTTTGAGAATAAGAAAAGGCCTCATATACAAACTTTTGATAGTTAATCTCGGATGACCAAGAATATGCCAGAATAATCTATCATCACCATCATTTCTATCTGGAGCTAGATTACTCCTAATGCAGTCAATAACATCCGACCTTGCAAGCTCATCTACCTTCCAATTACCAGAGATGTTCGCATAACTGATTTACTGGCTTATTTACCTCCTCCCAAGAGATTGGTTGGATGGCCTGGTCCAAGAGCCTACTAGAATTAGAAATCCATCTATCCATCCAAAAGAGAATTGAGGATCCATCTCCAACTTCCCATAATAGCAACTCTTCAAGTTTTCTCCATGCTTTAGAGATATAAATCCAGTTTCTGGAATTCCCATTTTGGGATCTAAAAATATCAATCACATCTCTACCAGCCGCATACTTAGCACGAAGGATCTGAACCCAAAGGGCTTGGGAATTTGAGTAAACAGCCTAGGCTAACTTAGCCATGAAGGCATCATTCATGGCGCTAAGATTCTTCAGACCAAGCCCACTTTTCCACTTTGGTTTTGTAATTGTTTCACATCCTATTAAATGCATATGTCTTCGGTTTTTTGTGTCACCCCAAATAAACCTCCTTTGAATTTTTTCAATCTCCAAACACACATTATTAGGAAGTCTGCTAGATTGCATGTGAAAATATGGAACAATGGCTAATACCGATTGCGCAAGAGTAATTCTATCCGCTTGAGATAAACACTTAGCTTTCGAGCAATTCAATTTGTCTCTAACCTATCAATCTTTTCCATATAGGAATCCTTTGTGACACAGTCGTGATGCATTCAAGCTCCAAGATAGCGGCCCACGTTCCTTACCCTCTTAAATCCAGAAAATTCAGTAATACTTGTAGCCACATCTTTCAGAGTATTATTTGAAAAGAAAATCGTGGTGTTCTCTGCATTAACTTTTTCATCTAATATTTCGTCAAATAGATCAAGACACTTGAGGACAATATGAATCTGGTCCATATTAGCCTATGCAAAAAGTATAAGATCATTAACAAATATTAAGTGTGAAATTTTTAACTCCTTCATGCTAACCAGAATGGGCTTCCATAAATCTCCCCTCACTGCCTGTCAACTTTTCCATTGCCATAATTATGCATTTTTTTTATTTTTATTTTTTTGTATAAAACCATAATTATGCTTTAGTTTCGTAACACATTTTATAAATGTAAAGGATATTGAATGAAGATAAAAACATTATAAAAATATCATTAATTAATGATCTTTTTAGAAAATAAAAATAAAACGAAAACTAACACCGCAGGTCAACTCGTTTCGGAATAGATTAAATCCGTTTAGAGCCACTTTTGTATCAGGCGGATTCAAAAAGATTGGCAAGTTAATACTTACTCACCTAAAAGACAAGAGTTTTTCTTATACATTATACAATAATATTTTATTATTCATGTGGCAGCGTGGGATTGGGCTTTACACGTTGATGAGACATGCGATAACATGCTGTGTAACAACAAAGTTCGCTTACGATTCTCGTATATCATACAGCATGTCTGCAAAGCTTACTAACCCCCACAGCTATCGGTAAGCAATTATTTCAGCGCAAATAATTAAGTAGTTTGGATAAGATTATATTAGTAGTTTTATGTTATGAATAAAATAAATAAAAATAAGAATTTGATTTTACGAAGAAGTGTGATCTCAAATGATTTTATTGAAAAAATGTAACCTCTTGCATAAGTATCTTTTGAATAATTTTTCTAATATGGTGCTCTTTATTTCAATATTTCAAGATTTAAATAGATAATATAATCATAAAAGTAATTATCTATTAACACTAGATAGACTCCACTAATGATAGCAATAACCTATTCTTAATCAAAATTAAATTCAAATAAGAAAACAAACAAAATAACTATCCCTGCACACTACTAAAACAATCCAACAATTTAAAAATAATAAAATTATAAAAATAACCGTAACATTCTCTCTCCTTAAAAATTACTCTTGTTCTCAAGAGTAAGATCAACATCAAGTAATTGAATCATCTTCAATATCGATGTCCGCCTCTCCATTACTGTTAATTGAAAAATGTCCTCTAGCCACAATTCTTCCTTTCCTCTTCTCAAAGAATTGTAGAAGTGAATTTTTCCTTGGACCAAAAATTTGGGGTCTTGGTTGAGGGACCTTGTTTCATTGAGACACTTTGACAACATTCAAATTTTTAATAACAATGGTAGTGTTAATAGGGGTTGCTCGTTTATTGAAGAGAGAAAGAGAAAAATGTTTGGGTGTGGAAGCCTTAGTAATGAAAGGAGAACAATAGAAATGAGAAGTTTGGTGGTTTCATGGTTGGTAATAAAGCATCTGACCGATTGAAGAGTTTGGTGAACATCTTCTTCAATTGAATGGAGAGTGCTTGAACTACATTTTCTAATTTTTCCAATTATTTCTCCGTGCCTAAGCTTTGATACCAATTGTTACGAACAAAATAAATAAAAACAAAAATTTGGCTTTATTGAAGAAGCCTGATCTCAAATGGCTTTATTGAAGAAGTTTGACCTCTTACACAAGTATCTTTTGGATAATTTTTCTAATCTGATGCTCTTTATTCCAATACTTCAATGTTTAAATAGATAGTACAATCATAAAAGTAACTATCCACTAGGCTCCACTAATAGTAATAACCTATTCTCAATCAAAGTTAAATTTAAATAACAAAACAAACAAAATAACTACCCCTACACACTACTTAAACAATCCAATAATTTAAAAAATAACTAAATAATAAAAATAACCGTAACATTTTATATTTTTTTTTAACGCCTCTTTCACATAAAAGTTAATTAAAATTAAAAAGTGGATAATATATTAGTTTAGTTTACGTGTATTAAGAAATTTCGTAATATTTAATTATTTTTATTAATTAAACAGGCTGATAAGGATCCAAGTCATCGACTTTTATAGTATAAGTGTTAGAATTACCATCGAAATTATTTCATCAAATCAAAATCAAAGGATTCACCGAATCACCTCAAACACTTGCGCTTTCTATAAATAGGACGCCATTTAGTCTTTTCTTTACATAGCACATACTCAGAGTACCAACAACAGAAGAGATGGCTTTCATTAAGGACGAGCAACAAGAGACCCAAATCCAGAATGAACTTGGTCACAAAAGTCTCCTTCCGAGCGATGCACTCAATCAGGTCCTTTCAATTCTTAAATTTTGCTTTTTGGCCTCTCTTAATTAAGTAAACAAAATCTCTTTACTACTCAATTACTAAGTCTCAAATTGGCCATAATATATATACAGCGTATACTTGAAACCAATGTGTACCCAAGAGAGCATGAGAGCATGAAGGAGCTCGGTCACAAATGTCTCCTTCAGAGCGATGCACTCTATCAGGTCCCTTCAATTCTTAAATTTTGCTTTTTACCTCTCTTAATTAAACAAAATCTTTTTACTATTTAATTACTAAGTCTCAAATTCGCCATAATGTACAGTATATACTCGAAACCAACGTGTACCCAAGAGAGCATGAGAGCTTGAAGGAGCTCCGCCAGTGGACAGAAAAACATCCTCGGTAAGATCATCATTATGTATATTTTAATTAAGAGTTTAATTGTAGAAGATAAAATTACCTTCAACGCATACATAAAAGTGTATCTCTCTTTTCTCTTCGCATGACCTTATATATATATATATGTACCCACACGCTTTTGTTTATTTATTTATCTCTTGTAACATAAGAAATATTAAATATTTTAATTAAATTCTTGGCCTATTTTTGGTAAAAACTTTAATTATCACATAACTAATATATACGATATTGTTACACAGGAACCGCATGGCTACAACACCTGATGGAGGACAACTCATAAGCATGCTTGTTAAGCTGATCAATGCCAAGAACACCATGGAAATAGGTGTCTACACTGGTTACTCTTTGCTCGCCACCGCCCTAGCTCTCCCATCCGACGGAAAGGTCCTTTATTTGTTTATGTAGTACATATATATAATGCCTTTTATATAGTATATACTATTCTCATAATTATTGATTGTCATATGCTCAATATTCTCTCTCTCTATATATATATAACGTTTATGAATTGTAATTAGATCTTGGCTATGGACATTAACCGGGAATCCTATGAACTGGGGTTGCCTATAATTCAAAAAGCTGGCGTGGCTGACAAGATTGACTTTATAGAAGGACCTGCTCTTTCTCTTCTTGACGAATTGATCAAAGATGTGCGTTCATCATGTCAACCCCACCTTATTAATTTTTTTTTTTAATAGTGCATGATTATTTATATTAATATTAGCATGAAATATTGAAATGTGAGTGTTGAGTTGGTGATTTATTCAAAGTGCATCAATTAAGCAGGAAAAGAATAAGGGAACGTTCGATTTCATTTTCGTGGATGCTGATAAGGATAACTACTTAAACTACCACGAGAGGGTGATTGAGCTCGTGAAGGTTGGGGGACTGATCGGCTACGATAACACCCTATGGAATGGATCCGTGGTGACCCCACCTGATGCGCCTATGAATGATTATATTAAGTATTCTCTTGGTTTTGTGCTGGAGCTGAATAAAGCTATTGCTCTTGATTCGAGGGTCGAGATTTGCCAGCTTCCAGTTGGTGATGGGATTACCTTGTGCCGCCGCATCATCTGATCACCACTCTGTTCCCTCCCATACCATCCGATGAATGAGTCCTACTCCTACCTAAATAAATTGGATTTGCTTTGATACTCTCTGTTGTTGGAGTTTAGTCTCCCATCCAATATGTTTTTCTTTCTCGATGTATTTCGTACTCTTTAAATTACATATGTTGCTCTAGCTTCCGTGCCTTTTCCATTGTATTCAGTAACACATATCTCGATACAATCTATATATATAGGACATGCAGAAAATGCAAGCTATAAATATATTGAATAAAAGTGTGTACGTAAAATATTTTAACAAAACAAGTGTTGGGAGAGCTTTACCCCTCCTAATTATTTCTATCTAGCTTGACTCCGTTAGTAAGGACTTAAAATAATTCATGTATAAGGAATGTCAAACCAAAAAAATATGTTAAATGCAAGTGTATTTTCTTTATGAGAGAGTAGTTGGAGAGTTGAGTGAATCGTGTGTAGGAAACTAATTGGGAGTGCATACCCTTTACCATGCACGGCTTACCATTCTAAACAAATGATTAACCAATTTTTTTTTCATTATTTCCCCCTCTAATTATGTCAAACAAACAAAGTTTTTTTTTTTAATGCACCAGCATATTAAGAATAATAATAATAAAAAAAACATACCGCCTAATAAAAGAGGTTCCCACATGCTATATCACCAATGAGAAAATTTACTAAACCCATTAGGAGGATCTTAAACAAAATCCCTCTCTGAACCCAGAGCACCCTTCTTGCTAAAAAAAATCTGGTAGTTAACCTCTCTTAGAACATGAGAAATAAGAAATTTTCCGTGATCCTTAATTCGACCAAACATAATTTAGAATACAGATTAATTAACCTATATAGTTTAGAATGATTGCATACTAGCAAATATCAACAAGTATATATAACGAATCAAGAGTGCATTTAATTCAAATAACATTTTTGAGTTTTCAGTTAACCAATAATTGTTATATTAATGTACAAAATATAACGCCTCTTTTGGTCCGATATAACATTGTTTCCTTTCAAGTTGAATATTTATTCTAAACATTGTGCTAAAATATAGTTTCCGAAGGTAGAGTACTGGGGATGCATTGTTTAGAGTACGAGCTGAACGGTATCTTTGCTCATTAAAGGATTGTTCATATTAAAAACAGAAACAAATCGTACCTCGTCCTCTATATGTATCCAAAAAAGAGTACGAACTACGATTTGCTTCTTCTTTTAATATGAACAATTAATCCTTTTATAAACAAAGATACCGTTCATACAACGGACATAATTGGTTGATTTTAATTATTGTAAACTTGTAAAAAAATTTAATCGATTCTTGATGGAGTACGTGAGCATGTGTGTGTATATATGGCATTTAATATGCTTTCTATTAATATGAAATACAATTGTATTAATAAATTATGAAAACCATATAAACAAAGTTGATGGCGCTATATATATGATAGCATATATATTAGGATCTCAAATGAATGAATGAATTAATTAATAAGCTCCACAGTCAAAATAAAATCTTAGACATTTAACAATACATGAATGAAGCATTTTCATTATATGCAAGCTGTGTCTTTCTCCCTAAGTCCGTCCAAGAGTATAAGTTTTACCAGTACCAGTCTGCCCATATATATGCCACAATTGTCCCATTATAGCCATCTAGTTCACTCTGCAGAAGGTCACCCAGTTAACCACTGAATGATGAATACCCACCGGTCACAACTTCATAAACACATTTTTGTGATGCAAATTCAGCAAGTACCTCGTCAAATTCATTAGTATCTGCATCCCAATTGTTCTTCCGAAGTTTTAACCTTTTGAGCTGCAAGAGAGGTAGATAGTTAAGATTAACTGCCCAACAACCGCATAAAAACACCAGGAGTAGGGGTGTGTACGGTCAGGTCGGGTCGGGTTTTTGTGCCGACCCGACCCAACTTGATTTTTATAGGTTAGGTATTTTGACCTGACCCGATTTAATTTGATCCAAGTTAGGTCTGATCTAGTTGAATTTTTTTGAACTAATTCAAAACTGGATCAAATCTGACCTGACTTGGTTTCAAAGTCGGGTTAAATTCGACCTGATCCGTTTTTGAATTGGTTTCAAAACATATTTTTGATTTGATTTTTTTTTATAGTTATTGATTTAATTTTTAATCTCATGTAATTTAATTATTTATTTATTTTAAAATATATAAATTATATAATAAATTTGATATTTATTGAATAAATAAAGGAAAGTAATTTTTTTAACAACCCTGTCACGTGCCATGGCTTGTCCTCTAGTGGAGTGACCTTGGCCCCTCGGAACTATATTGAAAGGGACAGAGCTATTGTATAAGCAATTTTATCAACCTCACTATGTCGTGTATTGAAGATGGATGAAACAATTGAATAGTTTCATCCATATTCTATACACGACATAGTGACTAGAAGCCCATCAAATAGTTTCAAGGTCGTTATAGAGCTTGAGGGATATATTATCAACACTGACAAACTCTGGTGGCAACAGAGTTTTTTTCTATTGTTCGGTTTCACACACTGTGGATATCAAACGGGTTATGGTTATTGATTTTTTGTTTTCTATTTTTTCACATAAGAGGTGTGGGTCAAGTTTTGGGCCAATGAGTCAATTATTAAAATAAGTTAGGTCTAAAACTGACCCAAATAAAAGTGGATCAATATTTAAACCCAGTTCAAAAAAAATAAGTATTTATGGATCAGGTCAAGGTCAGATCAAAGACAGGGCAAGTGAACGAGTTTTTTGCACACCCCTAACCAGGAGGAAGCTATGGAGTTGATTTCGTATATACCTCTTGTTGTAGTTCCACACAGTGACTGATTCCTCTGCATTTCGGGGCCGCAATCTAACAGCTACTCTAGATTTGGTGTTTCATTCAATAAACTTTGCATTTCTTGAATGAAAAATTAAGTGGACAAAATCTACATTTTGTGGTATTAAATTTTTGAATGTTTATTTCATAATGCTATAAAAAAAATTATTTTCGCCCCCCTAATTTACAATCTGGCTCCGCCATGATAGCGATGATGTGAGCCGTCGAACTCACTCAAATTAATCAGGTTTGAAAAAATAAGGATTTGTAATAAAGTGGATAACCTGAATCGTCTCTCTCAAGGAATTTGCAAGGATCTTAATCGATCAATTAAAAATAAGAAGTAAAAAGGGGGATTTTGTATGATTAAAAAAAGAAAGTAAAAACAAGAATTTAAAAATGGAAATTATAAATTAAAAGCAATCAACCCAAGAATTAGGATTCCAATATATCTATAATCGGACAAAGGATTACCAAATCGTGGTTGACCCTAAGCAATTTGGAATCCCTGCAATTGCTTAGGATGTCATCTCTAGACGATCGCTTAGCGTTTGATCAATACGGCGTATCTACTCATGCAATCGCGGAGTATCAGCCCGTTTGACTTAAGATCATCAGGTTAATCAACCTAAACATTAAATTTAATATTTAATCACTTACCTTATGTGCAATCCCAGAACTCGAATCTGAGTTAAAGGAAGAGAAACTATTTGGATCAAGATGAAGCGCAGGTCCTCCGAATTCAACCGCGGAATTCTTAATTCTTGGATTGATTAAAGTGCACTTAGCCTAGCATGGCTAAGTCAAAATTCATGATTAAAAAGAAGAAAAACGGAAGAACAAAATAGAGAAGAAAAGAAAACTATATTAATCTCTAAACTGTAGAAATAATTTGAGACAATTTAAGGAAAACTAAAACTGAATAACAAGGTCTCCTAATCATGCCTTTTTATAAACTCTACAATACTGACCTAGTGTAAAAGGAAATAAAAGATAAATAATGGATTTGGACCTCATGAACATTGGGTTCCCAATTACAAACTTAAACCAAATTAACTAATAATTAAAACTGTAGAAACGCGTGATAAACTTGGGCTCAATCTTTGACCATGATATTGTCTGAACTGGACTTTCGTGTCTTCATAACATTTGTAGCCCTCAAAATGCAATAAGAATGGAGTCAATCGAACACCTGTGGAATAAGTTATGGTCAAAATACTGCAGTAACATAAATCTAGATTTTTATTACGAAATTCAAAATAAACCCAATTAAAAACGCAACATTTAATTTAACTCAGAGACCATTATTTACACACTAAACCATCCAAAAATTACTAATCAAGAATAATAAATAAGTGTAATAAATATTAATTATAAGCAACTAGTAAACTAAGTCACAAATCATTTATATTTGATGGATAAATTATTTCTTAACTTTTTAAAATTAGATATGTTGGCATGCATGCATGTTTTTTTGTTTTGTAAAATGCATGCATGTTTTTTTGTTTTGTAAAATGCATGCATGCATTCTTTAAAATCCCCAAAAAAAAAAAAATGAGACACTCTAACATGTTATTAGACTCATATTAAAATAATAAGTGATGATAATGGATTAATTAAATAATTGATTAGTATATCAAGTCATGCGAATAGTGAATAATTACTCGATTAATTAGATATCAAATCTTAGATAACGATATGTGAACAACATTTAAGAGATAAAATGTGCAATAAAGCCACTGATTGTATGTTAATTTAGGCAGTAAATTATTAATATGACACTGCACATATATATAGATAAATATTATAGCGATTATTTTAATGTATAAAGTAATATTTATATATAATTGTTATGGGTTCATTTTTTCTGTAATAAATTAATGTAGATAACTTATCTATATTGAGCCCAAAACAATGTCGTTTTAGAACAGAAATTAAGGTATTTTTGTAATTATAATTTATTTTAGGGTTATAATAATCTTTGTTATATTATAATTTTTTAATCTTTCAACCCAAAATAATATTATTTGGAGAATAAATATAAATAACTTATCTATACTCACTATCGAAACATTAAACCTAATTATTTTTTGATTAAATGCTTTTAGGAGATATTTGGTAGAGGAGAAATTTTTTTTTACCGGAGAAACTCAATTACTAGGAATATGATAGGGAAGTGTGAGGTCCTGGATAGACCGTATTGCTATACCGGGAGGTATGCGCTCAGAGATAATGTATATCAGGTGTATACTAGGCTTATAGCCGAGGTCTCAATCACTGCGCACAAGCAATAGGCTTATAGCCAAGGGGTGGGTGTGTGCACAGTGTGGCAATATTCGTAAATATGTTAGAAGTGTTTACCTGGGGTCCTCAGGCTCTTATTTATAAGGATTACCTTCTTAGGCTTGGGCCTTTTGAGCTCCCCCAATTGCAATAGGATTCAACTCTCTTTCTGTTGGTATGTGATCCTTATCTTGTGCCTTTTGACTGTTTAGAGTTGTTGAGATGCTAATGACTCTATCTCTTAATAGATTCCTAGGTAGGTAGTTGAGATATGATACTCATATCCATAACAGGAAGTAAGTTAGATAGAAAAGTTTAAAAAAAGTTGTTTGGTTGACCAAAATATTACCAGGCAAATTTATTTAAATTTTCAGAATCCATGTTTGGTTAAATGTAAAATATTGATGGAAAAAAGGGTTGAAATGATAAAAATAACCCTTTAAATTTTTTGAACCAAACTTGGGGCCATGACTCAAATTTGAAATGTGATGATTGAGGCATGAAAGCATTAGAACAGATTGAAGAAGAGGGTATTATGGTCAGTTTTTTTGTTGTCTTTTATCCATTTAGACATCTACCTCATAATATCACATTGGAAGTGATTTTATTGAACAATAATTTTTGTTCATTTTACACACAAATGTCATAGCATGGGAAAATGTGTTTCATGCCAAAATCTGCAATATTTTGAACCAAACATGAGCAACAAAGAATACCTATTTCTGATGCCTATGTATCTTTTAAAAAAATCTCTACCAAACACTACTTTAGTTCTTCATTTTTCAAACTTTAGCTAGGAAAGAGTCTTTCAAGAAAAAAAATTGGATAGCTACCCCGACCTTCCTCCAAGTACACTAACACTGTTTATTATACATATCTTTCTTATTTTGTAATTTTTTCCTTCTCATATAACCCTTCTATTATTATTTTGAAAAAGCTGTTATCTACCTACATAAAGTCCTATACGGAGGTTAATTATTTTACGGGGATTTAATTATGCTTATATCAACATTAACAAGTCAAAAACTAAAAGAAGTATTCTCCAAAAAGAAAAGAAAAGGAGGAACTAAAATGAAAAGCTTTACCCTGATAAAATATTTTTAATTTTTTTTTCTTATAAACTAAACATACTTTTTCTTTAAATGTTTACTCTCCTTGTCCCTCTCCGTGTAACCCCTAAAGCAAATATAATCTTAAAATTTCTGTCTGTATGGGCCGTTTGAATCTTGGGAATTTTTTTGCCATTATCCAGGGTTAGTATGGGCCGTCTTTGTTTTCATATAAAAAACTGGCAAACAAGTCTGGTGGGGTTTTTTTTTTTTTTTTTCCTTTGGTTCTTAAAGACCAAGTTTGAGTTTTGAACTTTGGAAAAAGACTAAGCCTACATCAACCTTTGGATATAGCTATTTCAGGCTTATTCGTTGTTTTGGACTTTTGGTTATACTATTTAAATTTGGGTATCCGATCACTAGATCACATGTCAAACTACGTATCTACCACCAGTAAGCAACTTATTATGAAAAATATCTCACACTAAGATTTTAAAATATTAACAAATTATTACAAAATCATAACGAACATGCATTTACGTGCATCCCAAAATTCTAGTTTTTTAGCTTTTAAGTTATCCATGTAACAAAGTCTACTGAGAAACGTGAATGAAAAAAATGCGGTCTAGTCAAGAAACTTAAAAAACTATCCAAGCTTAATTAATTGGAGTTGTCCACCCAAATTATTGCAAAATTAAATCGACACACACACACACATAATTATACATACCGCGTCAAATTAAAAATATTTACAATAATTATATATCCCTTGTCACTGGAACTGTGTTCAACCTTTTAAGTGTACAAAATTTTATTCAAATATTGTTGCGGTAGTGCTTTTCTTTTACACAATTAATATGGGTACCAAATAAGTCATCGAACAAGTTTTACACGATTCGGATTGGACTAATAATATATTAATCGTTCTACGTATCAAAAACGCGTGATAAATACTATAACATTTTTTTTTTCCATGTTCAACTAATATTATTTATTGCCGCACTTAACTCCGAAGGATCTCATTATCATTTCCAAATTCCAATTATTACAAGATATTGAAAAAGAAAATGATTGATGGAAAATAATACACCCAATATATGCATGGAAGAACAAAGAATCCAGATTCTGAATCTGAATCTGTGTTGCAACATATTATATATTTTAGGGTTTTATGTATAAATAAAAATGATACATAAATGCCGTCATTTTTCAACTAATAAAAGGAAAAAAGGTAGATAGAGATGTACACATAAGCAAGGAAGTACGTGGCAATTAGAAGACAAAGTGAAACGATGACAAAATCATGAGGACACTTTTCCCCTTGCCTTGTTGGTATGAGTTATTATATTACAGCTACCTTGGAGGAACCAAAAAGCTAAAGGCATTTCCATCACACGAACTAACTACGAAGAGGTTAAGGTTGAGGTTGAGGTTGAGGTTGAGGTTGTGCTCTCACATGAGTGATCATATTATGGTAGAGGCAGAGATTGATCGCTTGCCCATTGACTTGTTGGCTCATATTTTTGTTCTCTTCGATTCCTTCACTGATTTGGCACAGTAAGTTCACTGCAATTGCATGAATGTTTTCATTCACCATGAGACTTGCCGTTGTGTTTAATCTTACTCATGTTGTTTTACAAGGGCGAGCAGGGTTTGCAAGAAATGGAAACAAGGGGTGATGGAATCTCTGGCTCAGAGACAGAATCTTAGCTTTGCTGGTTGGAAGATGGATGATGACTCCACCACTCGCCTGGTTTGTCATGCCTACAACCTCACTAAACTGGATATGTATGTATGGCTTTGTTTTGTTTTCTTTCGCTTCTTTTTTTATTTCCTAATTATAATTGTATGCCCCTTTGTAATTATTGATGATTCGGTTGGTACTTGGTAGAATGTTTCTGAGATATTCCCTTTGATGGTCCTTCTTAAGCATCAAAATTGAAAGTTTTGTTTTGATTTTCAGAGCTTTCGAGATGAATCATAAACACTGAGTTTATAAATTTTGATTGTACGAGGAATTGAATTGGTAATATAATGGAATCTTCCTCTGCTATTTCAAGTTCGGGAAGAAACTAGTATTTGGAGAAGGTAGATAACAAGTTTGTTATTGTTAAGGGGTAGCCGGATAGTTGACCACTATGGACATGTTTGAAAGCATAGCCTTTCACTGTGCCCTTTGTGGTGACTTAAAAGTGGCATTTTTTGTTTTTGTCATGAATCTGCCCCATTTGCCTTAATCCATGTTCTAACCTTTTTTCCTGATTTCTGGAGTCCACTGGTTGGATCATAGAATAGCAGTTGTTGTTTTTTCTCATTTTAAAGTTTCCTGATATGAAGATGCATATACTGAATAAGAGTGAGGGATGTTTCCTACAATAGCTAGTGGTTGAATAGATTATATTAGACATGTTGGCTCATTTTGTGTTCTACAGAATGCATGATACATGTGAGGATGCCACTGCCATTGACGAGTAAAATTTAGCACCTGAAACAAGCATTAGTAGAATTTCATAGTTTTTCACCAGCTATAAGCAGATGAGTTGTGGTTATGATTGTATGATGTCAAGCATGCAATATCTAAGAAGCTCAACATTTATTTGTATCTTGTATTTTCAGACCGAGGAGCCGTTGGAGTTGCCAAATAACTGATGCTGGACTTATCAGAATATCTTTGGCAAAGTGTGTTAGCAATCTCACATCCATATCATTGTGGGGTTTGACTGGCATCACTGATGAAGGTGTTGTTCAACTGGTATGTCATTGTCATTGTCATTGTCATTGTTCTGTTTTTGGAACTTACATGTTTGGGGTTTGGGAGATAGTTCTTGGATCTTCCTGTTTTTTGTTTTGAAAATTTGATTTTCTGCCCAACCATCATCAATAAGATGATTTTTTCTTTTAAGGAGAAAAATACGAAATGGAATCAACTGGTAGCTGTTCCATCTTAAATCACATTATTTAATGTTAACAAATAGATTGTGCAGATAGTATTCTGGCATTTGTCAGGCTGATGAATTGTTACTTTGGGTGTTTCTACATCTCTTGCAGGCTAAGCATTGGATATGAATTGTTTCAATTTTAAATTCATTTTGCTTCTCTGATGACAACAATTATTCTAACAGGTATCCAGAACTAGATCTTTACAACATCTAAATGTTGGTGGTACATTTATCACAGATGAATCTCTGTTTTCCATTGCAAGAAGTTGTCCAAATTTGGAGGTAAGTTATAAGAAATTGTGTTAGGTTTTGATGGAATTATTCTCCTTCTCCCAAACAAGAAGAAAAAAAGAGAATAGTACCTTAAGAGTAAAGGGTTTTTTTTTACGCTCATGGTCAAAAGATTAAAATAAAAATTACCAACTACTACTTAGAATGGTGTCTCATTCATCTCACTGCCCGTATTTAGTGTGTATTAGCCTGATCATCATTCTTTACTGGCTTTAAGTGTTTCTCCCAGACTATATGAAGAAGATGACATATCTCTGATATTCCATTGCACAAATCCATGTTATATATGATTGCTTTTTGTTCTTGTTCAGACCATTGTTCTGTGGAGCTGTCGTCATGTAACTGAGAGTGGGCTTTTTGCCCTGGTTGATAAATGCCTCAAGCTCAAATCAATGAATGTATGGGGAACAAGAGTTCCTGAGGATTGCCTTAACAATTTACGTATTATAAGTCCAGCTCTTCAGTTAAAAGATCAGAACTAGACCGCATCTATAGAATGGCGTTCAAGGTGCTGATAACGGTGGTAATTTCACTGTTTTTATTGTACAGATTGTTTCCTTCTTGTATTCTTAAATTTAACTTACCTGAAAAGCTGAATATGCCAAAACTTCATTCTTGTATAGGAAACAGCCTGTTGTAGATTATAAATTGTACTTTATCGATTTGCTATTATTGTATATGATTATTTCACAAAGTAAGCCGTAAGAAACATTTGTTGTACTTTATTGGTTTACATTATTTGAATGTCTCTATCTACTGATTCTATCTATGGAAGCTGCCTTCCAAGTGTGCTAGCTATAGTATGTTGGTTTTCCCTTAACCCTTTAAAAAACCACTAAAACCACTCCCCATTAAATCCCATTAGCAAGGGTGGGATTTCCCCTTAACCCTTTCTGGTCCAAAACATAAATGCCAGCCTGATGGCTGATACTATCCACTGGTATAATGGATCAAGTTATTGAATTGGAAAACTCGACTTCAAAATGGTACATTCTCTTGCACCGTTTGGTAATTAGGAGAGGAAAAGTGGTTTGGCGATTATTGTATTTGTAGCTTAGGGGCATAGAATTTTAGATGTCTGTCATCAGCCAGGAGACCATTCAAGATAGGAATTTGTGAAGGGAACTCAAATTAACACTAAATTCATGAACAATAATACTACAATTCGGGTAGTATACAGATAATTAGGAGTAGCCAGCAACAAAGACCAATATGGAAAATGCCAGCTAAGTCCATACTCCGTAATTACGTCAAGTACATTTAATTAAATACTAACATAAAAATAATGATCACAGGACATCAAATCCTACACCATGATTAGATTCATTCAAATTTCTAATTAACGAGATTTTTTGATGGATTTGTAATACCTGTAGTTGTTAGACGCATTATTTTTCAATTACAGATATTAGATTTACGGTTTATGAACAAATCTACATGATCTTCTCATTTTAAAAGTCATGCAAACCTCATGCAAGTTCCTCAGTTAAACTAAAAGGCCCATGCTCCATATCAACTATATGGTCATATGGTAAAAATGTATGAGACAGCTTCTCGATTGTTTCAACACCAATACAAAAGTGGAAGACCAGGTACAAGGAAGGAAAGACAGTTTGTAAGAATTGTTAAGATACAATCACAACAAACCTTAACAATGACCAAGAGCTTCCAGCCATCCTGATCCTATATTGCACATTCCCTATTCTGGGCCTTGGAACAAAACCTAAAACACAATAAGGGGAAACGTAATAAATATGAGTGAGGGAGCAACAACATAACATGCTTTAGGGTACTAGCTCAGACACCAAATCAACTATTACATTAGAGTGTCATCATTTCCATGGAACCACAAACAACAATATGACAAGTTTTTCAACCCTTGGAAACTTGAACCTGGTAAACTCAGCCTTCTAGCTCATGATTAGTGTGTGTTTTAAGGCTAACAACTCACCTCAATGAAAAAGCTATCAATTATTGCAGGTTGAATGACAAACTTCCTTGGAGGAAAAGAATTTTCTAATCCTATAAGACCATGAAGATTGGTGGCAGAGCTTAAACTAGTGTTTTTTAACTTGTAGATGTTGTAGCATCGTAACATATTCACATAAATGAAATTGAAAAAAATAAAGCACCTAACCGGAGCTTGGTCGCTAACTCCAGATTAATTCCTATCCAACTATTTTAATTAAATCATTTTGCCAACCACATTATACGCCTAAATGCAAGGAGAGAAAATGAAAGGAAGTGTATGCATCCTGAGTTGCAATATCTAGAAATAAGTTATATTGCCAAGCATACAACATACCTCAACTGCCCCAGATGCATTCTTTGTCTCTCTTGGTTACTATCTACCTCAGATGAGTTCACACATCCTTGATTATAGCCTCAGCGATTCCAAATTTTGGTTACCTAATTTTCTTATAAACAGTTCCATGACATATCACTGATTTAGGTAATACTGCAGTGTACGTGCTAAATATACAAGAAGACCCTCTTGAATGACTAGCTCACAGATGATATACAAATACGATAATTAGAAGCTCCTCTTGAAAAACATAGCTTGCATATGATATACAATAATACTCATCACAATTGCAACAAAACTGCAATAAGCAGGAAGTAAAACAAGAGGAAAAACAGGCAATTTGGAGAATGGGCTGGTGAAGCTGATCTTGAGAACTGAAAAGATCCAGTAAAGCTTCCAGCGTTGGTGGTCACTGGACTTGTATTAGGTATAGCAATGTTCTTGCAGGATCCAACAGGCGCTCCCTCCTGCAAAATTGTAGTAATTATGTAATTGTCTTTGCTGTAATATTTTCCATCAAAATGTACAGGTAGAAGCTTTGCCAAGATAGAAATCCATCCACATCAAGGATTATGCCTAGTCATGTCATACAACACCAGTCAAACACCAAGAGATGCAGCTAATGAGGATCTGAATTGAATATTTGTCCTACACGATTTCATATAAATTATCATAAACTAGCAGACATGCTGTTAAGAGAACGAGTGCTTGAGATTAGAGCTAATAAGAGAAATTGGAGATGGGAAAGTTGTTATTTATTAATGTCGATTTTTTTCATTTCAATCTTGTAACCCTATATTTTACTTATTTATTCAACAAATATTTGGCCTAGATAGAGATATTTTTAGAAAATCTGGGACCTAGAGTGAAGAGGGAAACTAACTCCCTTTTCCCTTTATTAGTAACAGGAATATCATAAACACAAACGTTATTCCTACACCTAATTTTTACAAGATATTTTCTTTGGTAAAAGAAAAAGGAAGAGAGTGGGCTTGGTAAGCTATGTAGCTCTCTTTATTCTTCCAAAAAAGGCATAGGGGTTTAATATAAAAATTAGATGTAGAAATAACAAAAACTCTCATACAAGACTTCCAAGAGCTAAAATGAAATTTTGAGGATATAGTCAATGCCAAGCATATGAACATTATTTAGCTATACTTTCAACGAAGTTGAAATTTACCGTGAGTGACTACACCTTTCTTTCTACCATCTCTAGTTAAGATCGATTTATCTCATGCATTATTGTTGAATTCAAGAAATACAAACACACACACACACACTCTTATATAAGTGTAGGGGTATTTTAAATTTGATGAGTAATCAATCGTTTGCTTCGAATTCAGAAAGAAAATCTAAATCAAATTGAAGTAATGTCCTGCAGATACACAGTCAGGCTTGAAAGAATATCATTCTCAAGGTCTGATATTTCTTGTTACTATGACTTCGAATATAAGGAGAATTCTGGAAACTTTATACTTGGCGTGAAATTATACTCAATTAGATTTCCAGTCACTATAGGAATAGAAGATATATGGAAATAAGAAATTCACAACAAATGGGACTAAGGCAATACGTATCTGGACAAGAAATGCAAACAAACCTGACAAGCGGTGACTGTACTACACCCACACAAGGCGTGGCCATTTATTTTATCCAAGATATCAAAAACTCCACCACCATCACTCCTCTGCATGAAATTTCATTTAGAAATTTGAAATAGATTTTTGAGGTATTTTCTGTATTATTGAATGTTAATTAACAACCCGGAAGAAGAATACCATGTAAAAATTAACTGCTACAAAGTTAGGAAGCACATTCCCTGCAGCTTTATAACATGTATTCACCATATCTACAAGTGGAGCCGAATGATCTTTGCACGAGTCAGCTTCAACTGGATAGGTTGAAAAGTAATTCTGCAAGAAAAGTGATGCACTTCTAGAATTTAGCGGTTTTGATTCTTTTCTATGAGGACAAGAACCCCGTTGAACTCCAGGATCTCCAGCTGAAAGTTAGTGAATTATTAGTGTGTCATTTCATATCAAGCAAAACTGAGATATCCATGTTACAATGACATTGCACTTACGCTCATTTTCAACCATGTACATCCACTGATAAGCTATTCCTTCTTCAGCTTCCTTTGAAGCATCCGAAGTGAAAACAAGAAGTCGACGATTTGATTGAACCATCTCAGTTACAGTAGGCCAATCTTCACCCATTTTGGGCATATCAGAAACAGGGAACCAATATTTATCCAATCCAGCATTCGTGAATAGATTAATCAACCCCTTTGGAGTATGTACATAGTCTTCAATTACAATGGTAACAATCTCCGTTGGATTTTCAGTCAAGAATGCTTCCACTTCTTTCAAAGTATTAATTGCAGGTTGCTAAGAACATTTCAGCGTGACACATTAGACAACACCCCACAAAAGCAAATTTAGATAGTGAAAATAAATAACAAAGAGGGTTAGATTACAAAGGCGGTGAAGTTGAAGCATTGCCCTCGAAATGAATGACAGAGCCAGATATCATTCTCGAAGTCGTACATATCCAACATCAATCCTCTCACTCCATTCTAAACAATATTCATCAAACAAATGGATAAGAATCACTAAAGAAATAATTAAACCATAATCCAGAATGAATAAGAGAAAAAGATGAGATGTGATGTGATGTTTGCTTTCCCTATGGAATCTCACATACCCTCAACTGGTTAGTAACGGTGTCTTCTTGATTGTAAAAGGTTAATCTCTGAACGCCAGGCAAAGGGGATGCATCCACGTTGCTGAATGAATTATGAGTCATGATCCATGAGTACTTGTTGAAGGGCAATCCATTAACCTGCATGTCCAAAAAGGGAAATTCACCAGAGACAGTTTAAAACATAAAACAGCGAGATATGTTATGTTATGTTATGTTGGAGCTTACAACAGAGGTAGCAAGGGTGGCTTGGCCTCTGATACAGAAAGGTTGTGTCCTACCCAAAGCAGGGCAATTACCACAATAGAGGCCTGGCCCACAATCTGTAGCAGCAGAACATGCTTCCAGAACCTGCGAATTCTCAGATGAATCTCAAAGAAGGAAAGTGATGTTTGCACGGATGGATCAGTGGGAAAGGAAGAAAAAGAAAAGGAAGAGAACCTGACACTTCCCGTTGAAGCAGGGGGCGGAAGATGTGAGGAAGAAGGACGAGAAGAGTGACACAAATAGGTACCTGATGGCAGGTAGTGCTCTGCATTTGCCACGGTAATCCAATAAACTGCAGCACATGGCCTCGGCCACCACCAGAGAGAGAGAGAGAGAGAGAGAGAGAGAAGGTTGAAAGCAGAAGAAAGAGATTTTACTGTGCAAGAGGAGAGAATACTAAGAGGTTGATCGAAGTTTTGGGTATCAAACGCGGGCTTTAGCACCTTTTTTTCTCTTACTTTGAGGCAACTACTCGTACCACTTTAAGGTTTATAAGCACGGAACATTGATCATTCTGTAACTGTTGGCGAGCCAAAAAAATTATCCTATATTTCGTTACACTGTGTAGCAAAATATGTGTGCAAATAATTTGTTATATAGTGTAGCGAAATATGCCACATCAGAACCAAAAATACCACATGTCAAAATTGTAGAAATTCGCTATCCTATGTAGCGAATTTCTTCAATTTTGACACATAGCATTTTTGGTTCTGAGCAGTCTGACGTAGCATATTTCGCTACATTTTGCAGCGAATTATTTGCACACATATTTCGCTACACAGTGTAGCGAAATATGCCACGTGATATTTTGGTAAAATTTACTATTGACGTAGCAGTCTAGTAATTTTTTTCCCAACAGTGACCAAATAACTATATATGCATACAGACAATTGATCTCAATATTAGAATTAAGTAAAATATTAGGCACCTAAATTATGTTCTAGACACGTTGATACGGGACATAAGACCGATATTTCAACACATTAAAAAATATTAGATTTAATATGTTAGGATATGTTTTGAGATTAAATAATATTTTTAATTTATACAGTGTATATTATATTTAATATTCAATAACTTAAAAAAAATAAAGTTAAATTTATAATATCTATCAGTATTGCAAAGAAAAATAAAATATTCTAAATATTTATATTAAACTCAATTAAATGATAATCGCAATTCAATGAATCTAATAGTTGAAACTAAAAATGTAACGAAACGCAAATTTTGAATTTTTTTTGAGTCTGTGCAACACGTCGAACTGTCGAGGAGTGTTGAAAATTGGCAAAGATGATATATTAGAGTTTATGAAGTGTTGGTGTATCATAATATAATATGTAAATATTGATTATATGAGATTCAAGAGAAGGACGACATCGTTTAGGCTCAACACTCAAAGCACTTGGCTTTGTCTGTCTTGTGTACCACTTCGTGTCCTCCTCAAATGTCATATTTTGAAAGTTTTTATTTTATATTTTGGTTTAGCCTTACTTGCCAAGTTACTTCTTCTTCTAAGTGCTCCACTGTGTCTATTTCTCTCTTTCTTATATTGCTTTCTCTCGGATCTCTTTATGCTTTCCACGTGGTGGTGACGTTGCTTCTGCCCAGATATTACTATCGCAGGGCACTGTTTTATGATGGGCGTAGTCGAGAAACATGCAATTTGATGGCCATATTCATATGTCACATATACAAGCAAAGCCCCAGCAAACTATCAGAACTTGGAATTCAAGCTGTTATTAATAGTCTGAGTATAGTTTTTATTTTTCTCTTTTTGTCTTTGCATCTTTTCGGTAGATTTATTGGATTCAAATATTATATCATGCGCATCGTCCTCATAATCAAAATCAATTTGTTCTACATTGTAGTGTTGTAAAATTGAACAAATATATGATGATACAATCCATTAAATTACAAACTAATTCTTGTCTAGTTCTTTTAAAATTTCATTCAAATCCTACTTAATTAGTTATAATCAAACGGATGAATTGATCAAAATAATTGTTACAAAAAAGTTAATAATATATATATATATATATATATATATATATATATATATATATTAAAGTATACACAAATGGATATATACGATGTTTGTGAATTAAATTTTATTGACACCAATGCAAAAAAGCAATCTTGCATAAATTGGTATCATTTTATTAGAAATTTAACTTACAAAATCTACATAATAATTTGTTAATTTCACTGATTGAATTTTTTTATAATTATAAATGATATAAGCATGTGATGTATTTATCTAATATGCATTTGCCTAATCCCCCTTAGGAAAGGATTACAAGGAATTTTGATTCAGTAAGCTAATATTTCCCATCTGGGATAGCGAATACAGTCAGCTAATATCAAAATGAATTGTTTAAACGTAGTTACCTATACAGCAACAATTGCATGGCTTTGCTACGAACAAAAAATATTTCTTTCCGCTATCAATGAGATTGCTTTCTCTACTGTGAAAGAATAGCTAAAAGAATTGATTTTAGTTTTAAAAAAACTCCCATTACGCAAGCTTCTTTGCACGACCACTTGAAGGAGCACCATCCTCTTTTTTGGATCCAGAAGCCTCTGGCTTCCGAGCCCAGGCAGGAGCTCTATCGGGCTCATAACGATAATCATAAAACAGTTCCTCCCCAGCACTAATCCGTTCCTTGGCAAAAATTCCTACCCTGTGATCACCAGCAACCATGATAACCTGCCAGTTTAAGCAGATAGCAATTGTCAAGGACACTGAAACCCTGGGAATCCTGAAAATGCAATGTGAAATAAAACTCAAATGATGAAAGCATCTTGTCCAGGGTCAGAACTGAATACCTTCGCATAGCAATTTGGATCAGGAGAATGGTTTGCAAACTTCAATTTATCACCCTTCCGGTACGCATCAAGAACAAACTGCATATAACAATCTTATGATTCATCCTACATTTAACATATGCGTATATTTAACAAAAAAAAAAAAATCATCTTCCTCAAAAATACACAGTAGTAAAAGCTTGCCTGATCATTCAGATTAAAGAGAAAAGATGAATTTTCACGGTCATATATCTTTCCTCGCTTATCTGCTTCCCGATGAGAAATTAACTCTCCTGTATACTCTCCAAGGTATTCATGCTTACCAACACTATTCTGGAGGGTGAACAAGTTGCATTAGGAAAAGGGAAAATCGTACGTATCCATATATCAATCTGGTAAAATACCTTTAAGAAGGCTCCCCAGCCAGATACATCTGACTTTCCAAGAAGAACCTGTAAGCATATTAGATATAAGTTGCCATCATTGCAAACATACGAAAACAAAGGAACAACATCATCTTAAGGGATACAATAAACATTGAGAATTAAGATTGTACGATGGGATAGACCAATAGTAGATGTAAACATACATCCCCATTGGGAGGACAATGTATTATCTAAAGGGAGTTTCATTTCTCTACATGATCTCATCCACTTCTCTTTATCATAATAAATTATAGGTCTCGTCATTTGTATATTATTAAAGAAATTTATGAAATATAAAGCAAGTAGGCCTAGATGTATTATATTGATAAAATAATAAATTTTCTGAAAAGAAAGCAAACAGGTCTCAATATCTGTGAAAGATTTCAAAGGGAGGTAAGACAGTCAAATAAAATTACTCTTTGCTGCTGTTTGAGAAGAAGCTTCATGTTTCTGCATTCATAATTATCCCCTCTTTGGCTAGGAATCCCAAGAGTACCATCACCGCAACTGCAACAATAATTTGACTCAAATAGCATAAAGTAAAGTAACATGGCAAAAAGAGATGAGAAAGACTACTAGTAGTTGATACAACGAGAATAACATATTACAAGCATTCATTTGAAAAAAATAAAAATAAATTAAGGCAGAGAAGTCATGAGCAGATGCAAAACAAAAAATCTTTACCTAAAAGCTCAATATGTTATTTAGATCCCATCATTCACCCGGAGATGTGAGAAAATTAAAACAGACATTTGCTTGAACATTGGCCGACCAAACAATCGTTCAATGGATCAAATTATGACTTAACTTACAATGATGAGGCATGTTCAAGAAATCTTAAAAAAAATGTACATGTAAAATTGCTCTCAAGGATCAATATTAAGTACTTAAAACTTGGAAGTAGAATGCTATATATATATATATATATATATATATATATATATATATATATATATATCTAGACACGCACGCTCGCTCGCACAAACACAAAAGGGCACAACAGCTCAAGATTCTATCCTTTAATCGAGATCTCATATAGGGATGGATAAATATGTACAGGAATAAAAAGTAAAAATACATAATCTACTCTTTCATTACCATAAAGAGAACTTAGCAATTAAGAGCTTATATCACATCACCTTACATTCCAATCAGCTTTGTACATTCTTAATCAGCTCCAACCATTCGTAATAAGAGATCAGTGGCCAAATAAATGATCTTGTGCCGTTCTTGTAAATCAAGATTAAATATCCAACAGCACTTTGCACTGTTAACTCTCTAATCACCTCTACCATATTTTTCCTTTTCAACCCCTTAAATCTGTTTACTTATGCATAAGTCAACAATTCCATGTTGGTAAACAAAATTATTACCAACGATTTAAGAAATCATACCATTCATCACATATATGACAACTAATTATTAGGATTTGAAAGAAAAAAATTAAGAAACATATAAATGACAGAGCAATACTACACTCATACAACCATAAGCAAGTAAATCTCACCTAACCCAACAATTCCTACAAACATCTGGATCACATTCCCTATCTGCAGCAAAGCAAGGACATTGACGACTTCGGCATTGACTCTTAGCACAATGACAGCCACGAAATCGATTCTTGCAACTCTTGGGGCATCTTCATATGAAAAAAAAACACCATGCGAATTAATGGACATTAGATGCACATGCTGGCAGGTAATCATGCCACAATACTCTATTTAAGCAGTAAGCTAAAGCTATAATCCCCAGAATTTCTCAAACCACCAAGGCATGCAGATAATCAGCAAAACACTACAATTCTGCATGCCTCTCATTCATTTAGATTCTATTTGGGCAAGTTAAAAGCTTACCCACAGTACTTCTCACAGCAGGTTCCATTTTGAAGACAAGGACACTGCTTTCCACAAGCTGATTGGCAACCACATGGATTGTACTGCCGACAGGGCTGATCCTTTCTCTCTGTAATCCTTTTTCTTATTGAATGATAAGCAGCAGATTTCCAGGTATACTTTAAGCGACGGACTCTTCCTCTTCTACGTAAAAATCTTGACCTTCGCCTCGCTTCATTATTACCCTTTACATTCATTTGGCCAAAACTGGTTAGGTTAAGCATTATATGCAAGCAACAAAGCAAAGCAAAAAATGCTCTAACTATAGTTGCATTAAAATCAACCTTTGAATAGCCTTCCACAAGAGAATTTGCAGCATCCCCAGCAGGACCAGACATCTTTCCTTCTTCGCAATTCATGTATTGGAAAACATCCCAACACGTCTTTAGACCATTTAAGAGATTCCTGGCTATTAAGCAGCTGCAGTTAAAAGCAGAACTTGTCACTTATCAGGTGACTGACTGTCAATAAGAGAAAAGTTCTGGTCTAAAGATACTGTGGAGATCATTCTGCAAGCCCATCATAATTAAAAGAAGTGACATAAAACAAAAAGCAGGCATGGCACAAGTGGGCAAAGTGAGACATTCAAACCACATATGAGAAAACTAAAGTTGACCCAAACCGCATGGGGAATCTGTTACTTAACCCAAAAATCAACCAGCAAGTCTCAAACACCTTTGCAAAACTTTCAGTTTCATTATAAAAAAAACTGATACCTTAGATAGTTGATAAATAAAGAAGTGAAATACATATTACAATGCTGCTTGTGCTTACTTCAAGTTTCCAATGAATGTTATAGAGATTGGTTTTAAGAATATGATTAAAAAAATGGCATCCAAATAACCAAGCCAATATCTGCATTTAGAACCAGACCAATTACAAACAATGTCGAACTAAGTACTTCCAAATTGTAACCATCCATTCCCCATGAAACCGACAGAAGACAAGCTTATCTTCATATAAAATCTTCCACCAGTGATCATAGTCATACATGCTTATATCTTACTTAAGGACTAATTACAACAATCATGCACCATATATAATGAAAGAAAAAAAAATAAGTATCTCTATTCCAAACATATACTGACCTGTTTCTGCCAAAAATATTCATTCCTTTCTCAAGAAGTCCTTTTTCAAGAGCTTTCCAAGATTTATTATCTGTGAATACTTGTTTACAAATGTTCTCATCCACAAACTCTTCTTTCCTTACGTTGTCTTCATTGCTCATGACAGCTTGGTCAGTAACCATCTCATTCAATGAACGGTCAAGAGCTTCACCCTGCATTATATACAGATTATTATGAACCTGTTCCTTCTAGATCTTCCAATGTAAAGAAATTTGACACATTTAAAATAATTGTTTCTTCACTATCTTGGCAATAATTGAAATTAAATGCAAGTCACCTGAACATAGAACACTACTCACAATGCAATCAGAATCAGAAGCCCCTGTTTTCTTTTGCCGCTTCTGCATGCAAACTAGAACGCGTTCTGCCACTCGCTTACTGTTTCTCTTACCAATTGCACCTTTCCCCACAGGTTTAGTTTTAGGAGGTGCTGGGTGGGAGGCTGAAACAGCATCCCGTCCAGGACCATTCTCTGAGTCACTACTCTCAGATATGTTCTTCGCATTAGATGAAGCACTTTCACTTTGATTGGATTTTATCCGCCTTCTAGCAGAAGACTTCTTCCTAGATAAAGCACCATTAGAGCATTTGTCTTCAACATCAGCCTGGGCAGAAGAGGTGACTTTCGCAAATCTTTCAGACTTAAGTACCTAAAATAAGTCAGGTTTAAGCAACATGAGTAAATTGTTACAAAAATTTTATAGATAGATCCCCAAAAACAGACCAATGCATACCGCTTGGAAACAATTTGGCCCACATGGTGCATTTTCAGTATGAGGAGGGATCCACAGAGGTTGCTTCTCAGCCTGTTAATGTACCAAGTCAAGAGATATGCAGACAATCATGAGAAATAACCAATAAATAGAACTTACAGGGAAGACAAGATCCTGCGAACATCCATGTAATCTGCAATCAAAAACCTGCAAAGTGAAATAAGGGCAACAAATGAGATATCAAGAGTAAAGTATACTGCATGCTGCTCAGTGCCTTCATGGGAAAAATGCTTACAAGACATCGTCGGCAAAAGAGGTTGTCAAAAGAGTCAAGAGCTGCTTCAAGATCCTTTTCCAGAAAAGAATTTCCACTTTGAGAATTCTCTTCAGTATCTCCATTCTTGGAACCCCCACCAGCATTGTCTTCATTACTAAGGGCTTCATTTCTTGCCTGTATAAGATGTTTGACGGTGTTTCATATCTCTGTAAAGCCAGCACAAAGCAAATGGGAAACGGCTGGACGAAAGCTTACACTACGACCAGTTTTCATCAGAATAATTGAGAGCGAGATAGCAGAAGTGGAAATACATAAAGGAACAATTCAATGAATAACAAAAACATACCTTAATTTCACTGCTGTTTCTAGAAAAACACTGAGCCAGCGACTCCAGAACAACATCAGACAAACCAAATTCTCTGATAGTCATGCTGTAAAATCAAACCAGACATTATGAAATCCACAAAACTGTCTCTATTTTCATGCAACACAAGAAAAACATTATATAATAATATAATATGCAACATAATAGTTAAACATACTGACATGAAATTCATGAAGTAGCATACAAAAATAACACAAAAAAGGTTCCTTTAAAAAAAATCACAGCAGAAGGGTACAAAACAATTGGAGTGTTTTATCCATGGATGGAAGCAGCGAGATCAATTGACAGGAAAAAACCAAGCATATAGTCATTCTGTTAACATATGTTAATAAAAAATTTAACAAACCAAGGGAATTGTTTCTACAGGAAATAATATGAGTAACGATATCAATTGATACACTGAAACATAAGCACTAGTTTTCTCTTCCAATAAAGGATAGAATTCTACATTTAACTGATCAAGGAACTTCTCTGATTCTTTATGTTCATAGAAAATACAATAACAAGAAAATAACCGCCAAACCATCCAGTCAGAAATTTCTCTTTTAGTCAACTGAAAGATAATGGATATGCTAGAGGCTAGTACAAATAAGCTCCAATGTAAAACTAAAATAATCAGCAAAGAGTAAGCTTGTGATACTTCATAAAGTCATAAATAGTAAGCAATGGTTCAATGGAAAACAAATGCTTAAGTCAACCAGTTGCTTTTAGTGCATAAATGATTTTTGAATAACTATACAAACACACAAACACTCACACATAGAGTATGAACCCATAGTCTTCCTACACTAAAACTTAATCTCATGACTCATGAACACAATATGCTCATACATATATTGTAATTTTATTTCACATGCAAACAGAAAAGATTAAAAGACCTGACAGCACCCAAAAATAGTTTATTAAGCTATACCAACCGAAGAATATAATCTTCTGATTCTACAAATTCTTTTTTTTCCTCTTCATCGTCTATTATTTCTTCCTCACTGTCACTGCAAATAAGTGCTTCTCCACCATTTTGATCATAATAAATTCGCCTCCGACCAACAACTGACTGATCCTCTGTCATTCTTTGATTTCTGCACCAAAATGAACAAAGTAGCAGATATCTTCAAAAGATCAAACTTTTGTACATCAAAATAATAAAAAAAAACTATAGAGCTGGAAATCAATAAATTGAAAAGGTGGAACTACAATGCAATAAAAAGAGATCAGTGCCATGTGGAAAGGTAAATCAAAAATAAGTAAAGAGGAAGAAGCTTGAAGAAGAAAATAAAAAAATAAAAAATAAATGTATATAATGAAGGTTCTTTAAATGTTTTCTCTGCTTTAATTTCTTTCAATAGTATGCATGATGCATTCACTTAAGACCCCTGGTTAGATTGACAAGTAGATCGAAAGAAGTCATAATCCAGGCTATTACACAATTAACCATTAGTTAAAAAATCACATAAAGGACTGGAGTATGGCAAACCATCAAACAACAACAAACAAAGCCTTTTTCCACCCGGTGGAGTCAGCTACATGGATCAAATGATGCTATTGTACCCTGTCATGAACCAAATACTCAAAAAGTCCACTTAGATTGAACTCTTTTTTAATGGTTTCACCTAGAGTTTTCCGAGTGTACCTCTACATCTAACTATGGGGCTATCCTCCATGTGATCCATTCTTCTTAATGGGGCTTCTATTGGTCTTCTTTTCACATTGCTAAACTACCTTTGCCAAGATTCTACTATCTTTTCCTTAATAGGTGCTACTCATACTTTCTCTCTAAGTCATTCATTTCTGATCCTATCTTTTCTTGTATACCCACTCATCCACCGCAACATCCTCATCTTTGTAACACTGAGCGCATGCTCTTGATGCCTCTCTACCACCCAACATTCAATACCATACAGCATTATGGGTCTATAGCTAGGAAAGAAAAACAAACATTATGGCAAACAAACCTGTCCAGAAAAATCCATGTAGTGTAAGGAGGTAATCTTTTTACTTCAGGCAACTTGATAGGACGAACAGCATTCTTTACAGCAACATTAGATCCTAGAAGAACTGCTGTAGAACCATGGCTATCTTCATGATGGCCATTGCTCTCCCTATCACCATTACTTGCCTGAACACCATTGTGCATATCTATTGCATCTTGTTGCCTCTTTGTCAGTAGGTCCAGACTTCTATCCGTGTCCGTCATGCTGCAGGTCCTTCTCTCCATCGACATTTTGCACAGATTGTTTGTGACACCAACAAGCTTCTGTCTATTTTCTTCCATTCTTTTCTGATATTCAAATGCATGTGAATTTAATGCACCACGTGTTATGAGAAACAAGCAAAAGGACCAATCAAAATCAACATCAAATTACAAATCATAGTTTAAGCTATTACACCTTTACAGACACAACACGGTCAGCAGCAACTTGTTTCTTCAAAGAATCAATAACCAATAACACATCTTTTACAGTAGGACTTCCCTCCTCCACTTTCTTTGTCTGCATTGAAACAAGAAAACTGCCACACTTACAACTACATTACAAAATAACAACTCAGGCAAATCTGCCAGTCACACTCAGCATGTAGTGATTGCAGAAGAGAATCCAACAAAAAATGAACAGCCAACTAACTGAGTCATTTGGCTCATCCAATACACAGACTCCAGCTCAATAACCATAATTATCTGTGACACTACCAAAAGTAATAAGAATCTCTACAAATTTCATGAGCAAGAGAACCAGGCGGTTGATCAAAGCAATATAAACTTCCCTAAATGCCGGAAAACCAAACCGCATCCCGAATAAGCTGCCTTACATACAATGTAGCTACATATCCAGTTTCAACCTATTTTAGCAAGTATTTACCAAAAAAAAAAAAAAAATGTAGCAAAGTTGTTTTACATTGAAGAAACAAACCGTCAACACCAATGGATTAAAAACAAAGGCAGAAAAAGATGCAAATTAAAGCCATAATTAAAACCGGATCGAAGCCAAAATGGAATAATAAAATTAAAATAAATTAAAAAGAAAATCAGAGCCAAAACCGAAACCAAGTAGGTTAGTGAGAGTTTCGGAGAGGATAAGACAATGCATTGAAGAGATAGAGAAAGTATACGGAGGGATCGACGGGAGGCTCTGATCTGGAAGAAGAGGGCGAAGACGAAGGCGGAGGCTTCGACGCCATTGACGGTGGCAATGCGGTCGAAGCTTATCAGGACCCGATTCGAAAATGGTGAATCGGATCGAGATCCGATTCATGCAGATGGAATTGCTGGTTGAGAGAGAAACGGTGAAGGGGTTTGAGTGTAAAAAGTGGAATTGGCGGGGCGAGTTGAAAGTTGAAACCCTAAGTCACGTCTCAAAATCCTAAAAAAACATAATTGGGGAAACACTTTCAATTTTTCCGCCGCTTTTGACGAGACTTTTTCTTTTTCTTTTTTTTCAGTATTTTATTTGTTCGAGGAAGTGACTGGAATGGGGGGAATTACACGATTTTGAATTTATTGCACTGTAGTAACAACCAAACAAACAAGGTCTTATCCCCTTCCCTAATTCTTTCACATTTTCGGATTCTCTCTCTCTCTCTCTTCTTAGATAAATATATTTCGGAATTTGTATTAAAAGTTTGGTAGATGTGAAATGAAATCTATGGGAATCTAACTTGCCGAAAATTGAACAGGGACATTAAACAGACAATGAATAAACTTAAATTTATAAATTAAGAAAACGTGTTTGGAAAGAAAGTTCTGGCGAGCCCTTCACGTCACTCAAACATTATTATCCTAGACTCCTTGTCATACATCATCATCCTCTACGAGGTTCAATGATGTTTCCTCATATGGAAACTCTTTTTGAGGATTGAAATAAAAGCTTGAGTGCTCGAGAATCATTCATGGACGAAACATGGGAGAAAAAATAACCTAGAAAGCATAGAAGAAAGTCCGGAACTATGGGGTGTTTGGCACGGAGAATTTAATAAAAATGTTGAGAAAGTAGGGTAGGCAAAATATGTTATCCATGTTTGGAATGTCTTAAAGTTCAAAAAACCAGTATATTATTTTTTTATGACTTTTGTTTTGAACTAGGCAATGGAAAATAAAATAGTAATTTGAACTGTGATATTTTTTAAGGGTTTGGTGTTTGTCATTTTAAATTATATAAGTTATGTCATTCAATAAGAGAGATAGACACAGAGAAAACAAAAATCATGGGAGAGAGAAAGTGGGTGATTTTTTTTAATTTAAAATTCAAATTTTCTGGGTCTGTATCTCTCTTAAAATGACATAACTTTCTGTCATTTAAAATGACAAACACTTTTTAAATCCAAGAATGGAAAAATATCTTTTACTATTTGTAGACAAAAATGTTCTCAAAAAGTCGGTATCTAGTATAACTTGTTTGAAAAAATCTATAAAGGGTAATTTCGTAATTTCATTACACATTCTCATCAATATTTCACCATCAACCAAATAAAGCATTAGTAAAAATAACTCATCTTTCTTGGTAAATTGTTTGTCTGCCAAATACTTTTTTGTAACTTACCCGGGCACAAAATTTCTTATCATATTTCTTAAATAAAAAATTTCTCTTGTACCAAACATCACATATATGTCTATATCCGTTAACATTTCATTTCAAGATTCAAAACTATGATTCATCCAATCATTAGTTAACTCTGTGAGTGTTATTTTTATCAAAGATAAATCAAATTCATTTCGCAGATTCAAAAGAACCAGAAAACATAAACAAAATTAAAATATAATAAAATTTGGGGTTTACATTCATCATTTAACATGACACAAAAAAGTTTTCTACACACAATATTTTGTGGAGCCCACACTTTTTGGAGCCAAAAAAAATAAATTACGACACGCAAAACAAATTTCTATGAGAGCGTTTGGTTGAGGAGAAAATTTTTGAATACTAGGGAAATGTAATTACTAGGAAAATGGTTGGAAAGTGATTTTGATAGGAAAATGTAAAAAAAGTTGTTTGGTTGACCAAAATATTACCAGGGAAATTTATTTAAATTTGCAAAATCTATGTTTGGAAGAAACTTCGCACCTGCTTTTTCATTCCACCAGTTATCTCAAAATACCACATCTCAAGAGGTATTCTGTAACAGTGAATTTTATCCAAAAATAAACACAAAAGTCATTTTCCCATCTATCCTATTTACCTAGTATTTTTTTCAAAAACCTGAACTAAACGTGGTATTTTTCAATATTCACTTACATTTTCTCATCAATCCCAAAATAAATCTTCTATCAAACACTACCTATAACATTACACAATCATTTTTCTACAACATAACTCTTATAAACACATAAAATTTAGCCTGTAATGGTATATTAGCTTGGTATATTTACTTGTATAGTTGTATTGTACATATCCTAGACTTAAGTTGTTATAAATTATGTTAATAGTTAGTTGAGGTAGTTTAGCCACGTGTCATATGTGGAGCAAATTAGAAGTTAGTTGGTTAGCGACTATTGTGTTATTCAACCTAGCTCATTCTCCAAATATCAGTATGTTATTAAATGAGCCCTAATCATGATTTTTTGTTTGCTGTTCAGTGTAGAAATCGTGAATCTAATTTATTTATTTTCGATTTACACAAGTTAGGTAGCCTAAACAAATTAACAACAAATATAATATTGTTTTATATTAAATAGTTACATAAAACATTATACTAGCTCTGTGATAATTCTTTTGACTGTTAATTTATTTAATCCATTTAACTAACATAGACGGGAATTATACAAGAGTTTTTCATGTTGTTAGACACAGAATCATTATAATAATCTTTTTAATTGTTAAATGAAAGTATTAAATATTTATTATGTTTTACAAATATTAAATACATTGACATTTTTCATTCAAAATTTAATTATTTAGTAGTAGGAGAAATTAATACGAAGATATTGTAACAGAACGTGTGTGTGTGTGTTTTGATTATATTTTCCATGCTTTATTTTGTTTGAACTTTATTTTTTAGACTTATTTTGTTATAAAGTTTGTTTATAATTAGTGACTTGTGTTTAAATTTTTTTATTTAAAAAGTAATTATGGCAAAAGTAATGTCGTTCATATTTGTTGCTAAAATCACTTTTAGAAGTGTAAATATTAATATAAGTATGTAAATACGGTTAAAGTAATATTAAAATATTAAATTATGAGAAAAAAAATTTGATACTCATCTAATTGATTTATTTTTCACCGCCAAAGCAACAAAATATTTTTTTTGAGATTGGACAACAAAAACATGACGGTTTTGATGCAAAAAAAAATTTACTCTGAAGTGGTCGATTATGTTAACACGAGTTCCAAACTGCGTGTTCCGTCTAAACATGCCATGTGTGTGTGAGTGAAATTTGTTATATTGTCTATATATAATTTTTTAATTGTTTAAATGTAATGATTTTTAAAAATAATAAATTAAATTTAAGGAAAAAACTATAATATGTATTTCCGAGCAATTTTATAAATATAAAGACATTATCATATTGTGTTTAAGTATTGATCTAAGTAAATAATAATAATTTTAAAATGTTAAAAAAATTATGATATCATATTGGACTAACTTTATATGTAATACAAACTTAATAATATATCAAATATAATTTTCAAAATTTAAACCCTATCACTAGGGCAAGATGTCCTAACAGGAGTAATTTCTTTCCGTTTTTGCCCTTCTCCCCGCTCCCCTCTTTCCTTTTGCCGTGCTTATCGTATATTCCCGTGGGAGTTTAAATTTAAGAATATGTGATGCTGGACGAACAAATATGAAGACTAGCTTACATAATGGAAATTGAATACTTAGATGTAAAACATGTGTTTATTTGTAGAGAATTGAAACACTATATAATCAAACGGTGAAGTACCTGTGCGATGTTCGGAGAAAAAAGAACGAAATTGTTGTCGGCCATCATTGGTTAATCCTCGCGTCGTGTAAATCAACACCTTCATCGTAGCGTGAAGCTCTGAATTATAACATCCTCGAGATATAAATACAAAGTTATAAATATAAAGGAACAAAAAACACAAAAAAAACATACATGTTACTTGAGAAATATATGAAATAGAAAAAAATTATCGTGCTATTTTGTAGTATTTTTTAACTTGAAAAAACTACAGCATGCACGCAGAACTTTGAAAATAACAACTTGCCATCTTATTGAATGAAGTACAAAATGCGACAGAATCCAGGACAATGCACAACAGTCAATGCAGCCAATAAATTTCAGCTGTTTTTATTTTTTCTATCTTGCATTCATCGGGCAAAAAGGACACGTCCAGCAACCTACAAAAACCAAAAAGAAAACAACCATAAATTATATGGGATGAACACTATTTGAGAATAGAAATTTCAAATTAATATAGCAAACAATGAATAGAAAAAAAATTGTAGATCGCATTAAACAAATTAGTCAAACACTTGGATTATTTATATACTGGTCATTAAACACATAACACTTATATTTTAAGATGTAGAAGAAATAGAATGAAATAAATTTTGTCTTATAGTGGACAAAAAGAACTACACCAATCTCAGAAATACTTCCTTGTAGACGATGTTAAAGGTGCTCTCTGTAACATAACAATTATCATCAAGTATCAATATCTTCAATTCCTATTTGCTTTTTACTCTCGATAGTGCCACATATAATTGTCCATGAGTGCAAACAGGTCTAGGGAGATAAATTTCAACATGAGTAAGAGATTGTCCTTGACTCTTGTTGATAGTCATGGCAAATGAAACAGTCAAAGGGAATTGTCTTCTTTGGAAATATACACGAAATGTATGATTGGATGGGCTCATCGTCATTCCAAGGATCAAAACACTCTCACCTATATTGCTTCATGTAAAAACAGTTGCCTCAACAACATGACTGCCTAATCTTGAAACAAGCAATCTTGTGTCATTGCATAAACCTCTAAACAGCATAACTAGCACATTAACCTTAAGAGTTAATTTATGTTCAGGAAGACCCGAGCATGAGAAGGTATTTGAAATATCAGGTGAGAATTCGTTGTCCTCAAGTTGAGAATTAGCATCCTGCTTCATCACATTATCCGAACTCAAATATGTTTTTTCCTCTCCTAGAATCAAAGACATTAGGCGCTCGTTTAAGATGGAAACATATGTCAAACTAGGAGTTAAAATTGCACGTTCTTTGTAGAAAGCATGATCTAAAATATGATCCAAGATATTCGGGTACACAAAATCAACCATATCCGATAGTGGATCTTCAGATTCCCCAATCAATAATTCAAGTGGAATTGCTATGAGAGGTAACATCGCCATTGAACAAGAAAGATGAACAATTCTAGTTGTAGTTGATAGAATAATGGAAATGTTGGTATTTGAAAAAATTGAACTAGTGTATATATAACGAAGCTTGAGTCGTTTGAAGGGAAGAAACAACTTTGCAATTAATTTACTGTTTTTGATAAAAGCAACGATTGAAATACTTATCTGACTTTGGAAAATACAATTGAATTAAAATTTTGGACCAAATTCATTACGATGTTTAAGCATGGTTAGTTTATCAGAAAACATAACGCTTGAAACCACAATTAAAACGTTAATTCATTCCATTATAGGTTACGTTAAACGATGACCCGTCCTTTAATACAAATGAGAGATATTCGATGAAATGCTTCAAATGAATATGGACCGATTGTCATGTTCAATTAACACATATTATTTTCAAAGTTTTAATAATTTTTATTACTAAATGGTTTAGAATTCATTAGCAATAAATGATTCATCTGGGATATGTGTTGTTAATTTCATCAATGCGAAACTCTGTGCATTCAACTCAATAATACATTTTACCAATTAATTATTCAACGTAATACAATTAACTCATCAACTCTTTGCATTCAGCTCAATAATACGCTTTACCCGTTAATTATTCAACGTAATACAATTAACTCATCAAACGTGGACCCTGTTGGAACCATAGTAAAATGATAACAAAGTGGGAAAGGCATTGCATACAATGAAAATTAAGGACACGTAACATATATGGACTGCATATTCAAAAGGCAGCATTACATCCAAGGAATTTTAAAAGGTTCGACATTGTCATGGTTATCTTACAACAGTACTATTAAAAAACAACAAAGAAAAGTAAGGAAAACGTAACATAAATGGCAGATCTTCATCAACTTCCAAGCATCATCAGTGGGTTGCCACTCTCGTAGCAACATTTCAAGAATTTAATCTCACGCTCCTTGTTGAACCTTTTCAACGAACACGATTCAAATTCATACAACTCGAATTCAAACACTCGAACGTCGTACACCGATTTATCTTCATCTCCGTAACGAAACACATTGCGGGTGATCCATTCCAAGTCATATTTTGCAAACTTACTCAACGTAACGTGCCTGTAAACAAAATTGTGCTCTGCTAACAGCTGGAAATATTTGCAGCCCAAAATTTATGTTGCAAATGTCCTCAATTGAATGAGATGCAACATTTGCGAAAATATATAACCACAAATATGTTGGAAGCTTTTTGACGTCAGAAATATTTTTCGTCATATCATATATATTTTTATTTATTTTTTGTAAATGAGTAGAAAACTTTTTATGACAGTAGGTTAGGCTGAAGAATGATGTTTATCTCGACAATTTATATAAGTTTTGATAAATTGGTTCACATAGAGACATAACTCTTCCACATTACAACTTCCACTCAAGACTCAAGAACTTCCAATTTAACGTAAAAAAAAGGCTATTTACATTTACTTAAAGTAATGGGAATCAAAATTATTAAAAAAGCGTAAAAATAGATAATATGATATATAATAAAATAGCATGTTATTTATTCCAAAGACTTTCCGACAATAAAAACATCAACAACATATGAGGAAGTCGATGTACATCTCAATTATCTCCATACAGCATAAGTTGTATTGTATGTGTCCACATATACTCGTCATCTAGATAACTTTTAAATTCCTTGCAAGTTAGTAGCAGCATGTAAATATCAACGACCCCACCAGCTGCCACCTAGCAAAAATTTCCATCAACAAATCATGAGGAAGAGATTTGAAATACTCCTCCTCTTCCTTCTCAATCTTCATCCGCTTTCCAGAAGAAGAAACAGCCATCGACAGAAGCCTAAACAACCGACAAAAGGAAATTAGTTTAATTTTTTTCATCAATGATTGCTCCCTCATATGAGAAGTCGAGGAAGTTAAGTATTATTTATAACAAATTAATAAAGTTGATTTTGCATGCCACTTGGTGGATTCTATGGAGAAAAGAAAACTGCATTAAGGGATATCAGTTGAAATGTGTAAAACATTCTTCCATTCATCGGTAATGTCACAATAATTCAATGATAAAATGAACATTCAAGATGGAGAATTTGAATGGTCGACGGCTTGCAAATGGAATAATTAAATGGAGTTGGGCTATCGAGCAACCATGCATTGATATTTTGTTAAAATTTAAGAGTGTCGTTTTGCCTCCCAAAATAGCTTTTCGTGTTCCAATGCATCCATCAACCATTTACTCAAAAATCCAGGGGCATCCAACAACAGGGATTTTGCAATATATCAAATCTAATGTTCTTGGTAAAAATAGGTAATCCCATTATCATGAACTATAAAGTACACCAGTTCATCAATAATTAAGAACCCCTTTCCACTTGATATCCAATTCGACGTTAAGCAATAAAAATCCATTGTCATTTACATAATGGCATCGCATTATAATTTACACAGATGGTACGTGTGCATTGGGTACATTTACAAAACGTTAAAATTCAAAAGAAGCTCCACTAACTATTAATTACCATTTAATCCAATAATTAATGGTATTATAATTCCCATTATCATGAACTATGAAGTACACCAGTTCATCAATAGTTAAGAACCCATTTCCACTTGATATCCAATTCAATGTTAAGCAATAAAAATCCATTGTCATTTACATAATGGTATCACATTGTAATTTACGCTCACGTGTGTGCATTGGATACATTTACAAAACGTTAAAATTCAAAAGAAGCTCCACTAACTATTAATTACCACTTAATCCAGCAATTAATGGTATTATAATTCTCTCCCATGTGGCTTTTCGTTATCCAATGTGTCCATCAGACATTTTAAAAAAATTCAAATGCATTCAATAACAGTGACTCATTAAGTTATCACATAGAACATCATGTTAACAACATTTGAACATCTTATCATAAACTATGAAGTATAAAAGTTGATTAATTATTCAAAATCCATACCGGATAAGCAAATATATAATGATATTTTTTTTGCCAACACGTCGTGTTTAACAGCGAAGGACATCCTTAGTTGTACAACAAACATATAATTATATTATAATCCATTCAAATACTGTTGTACCTAACGGAACAAAAAGTCCATAAACTTAACATTTCTGTTATGCTCATGCATCTTAATACTTTGCAAAACAGTTACAATAGTTCACAGTTTAATCAAAATCTCCTTTCGACCAAATTCTCTGTTTATCAGCACATACAACACGTAATAAGTCACGGATCTCCTTCCTCCGGTTTTGTGTCTCCAGCTTCACCATCAAACCTATTCCAATTTTTTTCCCACGTGTCAGTGTTTAATCCAATAACGATTATAATTTAAATGACTAAAGTACAGAACATAGTGAGAATTAACGGGCAAGCACTTAACTCTTACTCCAGTTTTATCTTCTTCAAAGGACGAACAATAGAAGAATTACATTTGTCTTCAACACTATTATTAAAATTCGGAGAGTGACAACAGAGACAGAGACATGTCTGCATCTCCTGTACTCTCACAGGTTTAACTCTCAACATCCTGTAAAAAAAAATGTCAAAATTTTCACAACTGCATGTCTTTGAAAACGCAACTCGTCCACGTTCCTGTGACACAACATCATTGTCGTTGGTGTTATCGAATATGGTCTCATCCTGCATTTTTTTTAAAACGTAAAAATTCAAACCAAATAAACAAACGACATACATTCAATAATAGAAACACACACAAAAATAAAAAACGCAACAAATAAAATAACTTAAATTAAAACGACATACATTCAATTCCATCACAGACTTAAGAAATGACTGTATAATAGATTCGCTGTTGCAAACCCTTGAAACTTGATATTTTGGCTCGTTCAATAAGTCTAAATGCTTTTTTTTCACATTGACCTTAAACAACATGGATTTCTCATTGAGAATGTTAAGTCCTTCTGGATAAAGCTCCAAATCAGCACCCTACAGAAAAAAAAAGGAAAACATATCAGAAAGGAATTCCAAAGTACAAATACTGCCAATAGATGACAAAATGCTTGAAATAAGTATAAAACCCGCTTGAAATGTTGTTCGCGTATTTCAGTAGCACCCATTCCTAATAAAGCTACACAGTCTCTATCAAACAGTATGAAAGAGGCAGAATCTGTGATATCTACCACTCTGACTTGAACACTAAATCTGTCACACACAACAAATAAGTACACAACACACTGATTCTTTTACGTTTTAAAAAAGCTCACAAAATAATACTTACTTAGGACAATAATCGTCCCAATGTTTCTGACAATTCTTACAAAACTATTTTTCAAAATCCTCACATACAGAATATGGACATTTCTTGCAGGACTTGTACCACCAGTTGTACTTCGACTCAATTGATTTTATTGTTCCATAAGTAATGCAAGTGGTAATCTCACTGCAATTCTTGATGTCACTAATAGACTTCCTCTTTGTGTCTTTTAGAAAATCATTTTCAAAAGAATACGACGATTGGTTGGACAACTGAGTCAACCTCATACCGCTCTCTATTGGATCAGACGAAAGCCTAAAACGCAACACAACAGCAAAACAATCACCAAATAGCAAGTTAAAACAACAATTAGTGGAAGACACACACACGCATAATGAAGCGCGATGTAAATAAAATGTGTCTCCTTATTTTTTTTTACGTTTTTTAACGAAGCGCGTAAAGAAAATGCTCACTTCTTTTTGAACTCTACGATTTCAGGAAGACTGGAATCGAAGAGAATTCTCGTCGTACATTTTGTATTTGTTATCTCTATCTTACCTAATCAATCGTGAAAACGAAAGTAACAGAGATTCAGAACACACACCAAATAAAAAAATGAAATATATTAAGCACATATTATTGAAAATACCCCTGAAACCCTTAATCCTTGCAAGCTGGACGATCATAACATTTTGAGGAGAATCGTTCTTTGCCAACAAAGACTGCACTTTATCCACATGCTGCTCCCACAAAGTACATTCGAGCTTGTGACCCCTATTTTCACAAAAGTTGGAAGAAATAAAAATATATTTCATCTGAGAATATACTTCATAATAATCATACAAATATACCCGAGGTCATCAAGTTCTAAAACAACCATTTTTTTTTTCTACCGGACACAACATGCTCACTAACGTCTCCAATACCTGACAGCAAACCGACGACGTCTACAGAGAGAAGAAGTTGAACACTTATCAAAGACATTAACACATAAAATACACTAGTAAACTCAGACAAAAATATTACCTACTAAATAAGGAGAGTCAGCTGATTCCCTCTCTATAACGCCAAAATCAACAAAACCAAATCCATTAGCAGGAATAGTAGCATCCGCAGTCGATTTAACATCGGTCCTCAAGTTGAACGATAGACAATAATCATGTCTAGTTGGCCTGAAATTATCACTGTTCAACCCAACTCCAAAATTTCTTATAAAATAGACATCCCCTTCGCAAATTTTTTTATGGACATTCAGAGATCCTTTGACAGTAGCATTTATCCTTCTACCCTACAAAACAGATACATTAGATACATTCACATAATGGCCGTAAAAAAAAAACATAAAGAACGCAAAGTATTACCTTCTCGTCTAATAGAACCATGTCCAGATTGTCGTCAAAATCTTTTCGCTAAAAATTAGGAACATTCCAAGTCCTAACAACCTTCACCTTAATCCTCCACTCCTCCTTTGACAGATTAAGATCCTTAATGAAATCTTACCTCGAGTACATATTTGGCACCAAAAAAGATTGAGCAGATGAATATGCAACAGAAAACAAAAGAGAACAGGATGAGGAGGGGAAGAATTACAAAAGGCGAAAAACCAAAGGAAAACACCAAGTAACACACAAGATATATATACACAACTTCCAAAGGCGCATAAATGCGCATAAAGGGTCCCTTTATAATGTGTGTGGGTCACTTTATAAAGGCGCATAAAGGGGTCACATCCCTGCCTCTTCATGGTGAGCACATAAACCTATAGTTAGAGGATCTCTCACTCTTTGCACAGCTCATCCTTCGTACACTTTCATGTAGTTTTGCACATCTTCGCTCATAGAAATGAGGTAGTGGACAAAGTGGTTTGACTATATCATATCATAAGAGAATATTATTCTCACCTATAAATTATAATCTTCTCTACCTGAAGAGACATATTGCATACATTATTTTTATGAGTTGTTATTCCGCTAAATTCTAGAGCTATTGTGCCTTGGTTTGTATCATTATCTCCTTCTGCACCCACATAGCGAAATACTACACTCTCGATATAGACCTAGCTCTAACTTTACAACAACTCAAATACTTAAGTAATTTTCTACTTTATAATTTTTTTTTTCATACCTATGATAATATATATATATATATATATATATATATATATATATATATATATATATATATATATATATGAGGTAGGATCCTTTGACACCAGTGTCAAATTTCAAATTTGACACCTCATCTGATAGCCATTAGATCAAAAAAGATCAATGGCTCTGATTTGTAAGCATATGACACCACTGATCTTTTTTGATCTAATGGCTCTCAGATGAGGTGTCAAATTTGAAATTTGACACTGGTGTCAAATGATCCTACCTCTATATATATATATATATGTATGGGAAAATAATGTATAATGTCACTGTATATAAAATTTGGTGCAGTCAAAAAATTATAATTATGTATTACAGATAGTACATAGTTATAATATTAAAGTTATTTTTTTCTTTAGTAATATAACTATGTACCGGTAGTACATAATTATAATGTTAAAGTTAATTTTTTTTTTCTGTTCTACATCATCCGACAAGCCTTTGAAAAGTTACTAAAATGACTAAAAAAAATTAGTTTTAATATTATAACTATGTACTACCCGTAGTACATAATTATAATTTTTTGACCGCACAAATTCTTATATGTAATAAGTGTACATACGCTTTACCATATATATATATATATATATATATATATATATATATATATATATATATATATATATATATATATATATATATAAAAGCATAACAAAGCTGATATTTTTTTTTCCAAAAATAAATAAAATAGAAGACATTGCTCAGTGATTCGAATAATGAACAAGCTCATCTCCAATAGACAATTGATAAGTGAAGTTGCAAGATGAGTCCCTAGCTAGTTATCTCAAAGTAGCACTACAATCTACGTATATTCTATTCTATATGATCTCAAAACCAAATTTAAAGGACTACGCAAATGCAGACACGTCACATGTTATTATTAATTTAGACGGTACGAAATATAATTCATGGTTATTATTTACTTTTACATAGTCGCATAAGGGTTGTCTAATGTCTAATATACAATTCATCTAGAATCTGTTATCATGTTAATTTTTTTTTTTTTATAAGAGTTATGTTGTAGACTTGTAGGAAAAGTGATTGTGTAATATTATAGACATTCGTTTTGCGTGCTTTAATTTTTTATTTTTTTTTGCTTTAAAAAATGTGGGCTTTAGATGTACGAAATTTTTTGTTGTCATGTGATATGATAGATGCAAATTCTTAAAAAAAAGAAAAAGAAAATAAATCAATAAATTATGAATGAAGCATTAGATGTTCTTATTACTTGCAGCAGTCAGAACACTTTTGGATTTAATCAATAATGTAATGTTCCATTATCGTACAAAATATATTGATACGAGATATGAGTTGCTACACATAATAATAATAATAACAATACACAAAATAGTAACTTTACGAGATAGAAAAATCTCGCATGAATAAAAAGATATCAAGTCTAATTTTGATATATTATACTATACAAAGAATTCGATGCTATTATCTAATGATATACTATTACATTATTTAACAAGTTTGACATATCAATTATCAAACTCATGAAACAACAGTGTAATTTTTTTATTTTTACATGAATAATGAATTGAAATTAAATTCTAAGAGTTATTAAAGCTTCTTGCTAATTTTGATAGCATGGACTTGGGATTATATACCGAGCTAGATGGCTGCAAAACCCGTAGGCCGTAGCAGTGAAAACGGGCTTTAGCCTTTTAGCACTAAAAGTTGATAATTTGTTTTTTGTGGCAGTGTTTTATTTTATTTTTATTTTATTTTATTTCCACTGAAAAAGAGAATAGATAAATGCAGAGAATATGAGCCAAAAGAAAGAAAAGGCGAACAGAGAATGAAGATCGGCGGCGGGGTGTTGTATGGTGGAGGTTCACGCGGCAACGTCGTGCCTCTGCTTCTCAACCACCACAGAGCTTCCCTTCGCGTCTCTTCTTCTCTTTCTCTTTCTCTTTCTCCTTCCTCCATTCCTGGTACTGTAAATGCCAACCTTCACTCTTTCTTCTTCTTATTTCTGCAGAAAACTATTTTGCTCTTTCCTTTTCACTTTTCTTCTCTTCCCTGTCGCAGACCACGTCTCTTTCGTGAAGGATGTAGCTACGACTCAGCCTCCTCAGCATCTCTCACAACTATTGTGTATTTTGAAAACCAGAGGTACCTTCAATGCACATTATGTTCTAATAACCAATTTGTCCTTGTTATTACCAAAAGTAATACTCTCAACCATTTATATAATCTCATGTTTAGAATAATTATAATTATAATTCTGTATTTTGTCACATTTTACTTAGATTATTTTGGTCTATCAAGCTATGTTATGCACATATGTAGCTTGAATTTTCTGTATAGCAGGTGAATCTATTATCTCTCCCGGTGCCAAGCAAGGATTAATCCCTCTTGCTATACCACTGTCAAAAAATAGCTCAGGTATGGGTTTGAGATTAATAATATTGATAAATCTTAAAGTTTAGTATTGTATTTTTATGTTACTGTTTTCTTCATAGGTACTGTAACTGCACTGCTAAGGTGGCCCACTGCTCCACCTGAGTAAGGCTCAATTTTTTGTGCTTTCATGTTGTTAGTTTATTGTTGTTTTGATCATCTTATAATTATAAACACCTGCAGGATGGAAATGCCTGTGGTGGAAGTCAGAGAACATGGAGTGTGGCTTCTAGCTAAGAGTGTAAGTGGAGTATGCTTGGTCTTTTCTTTTGACTGCATTGCTGTGTTTGTTGCTAATACATTGTGATGTTGATTAATGGACACTTTTTAAGATGGTGTTATGTTATGCCAACTGTCTATTTTCTGCATATAGGTAGACCAATTTATACACAGAATTTTGGTTGAGGAAGATGCAAAGAACAGTGAAGAGAGAAATGAAGAACTATTTTATGCTTCGGCTGATGTTGGGAAGAAACTTTACAGAAAGGGTGATTTTGCAGAGTCTGGAATTTCTAACCTAGATGTCTATCTTTTGAAGAAGGTATTAATACATTTGTAAACTGTGTTTTTAATTCTGATGACAAATAGTTGCAAGAATCTAATTTGTTTTCAGGTTGGTGTATTTCCAGATATCTTAGAGCGCAAAGTGATGCGGCATTTTGAGGAAGGAGATCATGTAAGATTCCCTTGCGTTTAATTAGTTCCTCAAGCATTAGCTATTAGTCAATTGATGCATTTTGGTTGTGTGCGTGGAAGGTTTCAGCTCTAGTGACAGGGGAATTTTATACCAAGAAGGAGCATTTCCCAGGATTTGCACGACCTTTCGTGTTCAATGCTGAGGTTTTGTTGAGGTTAGTAGTAAACATTCTTCGTTACTTCTTGAAATTGTTCAAAATGGGAAAACTGAATTCTAAGGAGCTTTTTTAATAATAATAAATATCTAATAATTTTTTACAGGGTTGGGCGTAAAGTAGAAGCTAAAGATGCTGCCAGGGGAGCTTTGAAATCACCATGGTGGACTCTGGGCTGCAAGTATCAGGTGTGAAGCCTTCATCAGTCTCTTTTGCTTCTGTGCTTATTTTCCTCTTTTTCTGGTATTTCCTTCTGTGATAGTCATTTTTGTTTAGGACGTTGCCAATATAGCACAATGGGACGATGAGCAAATTGAGTACATTAAAGAGAAGGTGACTGAAGAGGGAAGGCAAGAAGATCTTAAAAAGGGAAAGGCGCCTGCTCAGGTTCTATATATAGTGTCAACTATTTATTGGTTTAATTTGAGTACCATGGCTATAACATCAAATACAAATATTCATGGCAAGGGTGAATGCTGATATTCATGTTAATTTTTCTCGTTTTAATTTTCAAATCAATTTGCAGGTTGTACTAGATGAAGCTGCTTTCTTAATTTGAATATATAGTGTCAGATATTTGTTGATTTAATTTGAATATTATGGCTATAACATCAAATATTCTAGGCAAGGGTGAATGCTGATATTCATCTTAAATTTTCTCGTTTTCGTTTTGAAATCAATTTGCAGGTTGTACTAGATGAAGCTGCTTTCTTGTTGGATTTGGCTTCTATAGAGGGAAAATGGGATGATTATTTGGAGCGGATTGCCAAATGTTACGAGGAAGCTGGGCTTCATGATGTCGCAAATTTCGTACTTCACAGAGATTAATATGCTTTATCATATATTCTTCCACCTTCAGGCTTCAGTACCTTTCCATTTGGCATTTCCAGTACTTAATATGAAGTTTTGGAAAGTATAATTAGAGGAAAATCATACAATTCATTCTTCAGGCCTGTATATTTTACCTTGAGTTCTCATTTCATTGAAATCAATTTAACCTTAAACCTTAAACCCTATTATGTTTCATGATGTACATTTAGTAGTAATAATATTGTTACACTCTTAATTCACATGTCTCGGGCTTTTTTTCTAAAAAAAAGTTCACATAGATGGCAAGTAACTCAATATCAACTTGATCCTCTCAATGACTTGATTATTTGCATCCCTTGCACCCACAATCAATACTTGACATGTTATTGCAGGTTGACCAAACAAACTGCTGCGGGAGCTAGACGGTATTAGTAGTAACTTGTATCCACGAAGGGTGCCTTTATGCGGTTGCTCGATGGCCTTGACCTGCTGCCAAAAACCTTCACATGCTTACGAAGCAGAGAAAGGACATCTTACGGTTTAGTGCATGTAGCATGAACCTTGGCTCATCATTTAAGACAATTAATTTTTTGGGATTGGATCTTTAAAAATTGACGGGGGAAATATTTAATATCGTGAAAGCTGAATGCAAGATACTCTACCCTTACTGTTAAAAGAAAGAGAGAGTAAAAAATGGGCATAATTAATGGTAATAGGAAGTGCATAATACAGACACTAGACGACCCGACATTGCTCATTGAAACTAAACCCAAAGCCAAAGCCAAGGGAAAAAGTTTGTTGTCATGAATAATTTCTTTAGGAAATTTATTTGAATAATATTGATGAATTATATCTTTCTATAGCTGAGAAAAATTAATTGTTGTGGGTCACGTAGGAAATTCAGAATAAAAAAAATAATGTTTTGTCGTTAGTAATTTTTTTTGCTAAAAACAATTTTGGTGTGAACATCACCACTCAAAGCTGAACCCAAAATCAAGGTGGGTTTAATAATCCAATGTCGTCAGATTGTTCGAAGTGGAATTCTGGTGTAGAGTAATGTTATTTGACTGTAATAATTCTCACGTTTTCCACATTCAACTAATCATCCCTATTCTTCCCCCTCTTCCCTTTCTCTCTCTGTTTTTCAATCCTCAACACCAATGGTCTACATGATCCTACTTGCGGGGAAATTCTACATGCAAATGCATTATTTTTCCCTTTTGGTACATGATGGGGGTGTGACTTTTTCCTATGACGGTCTACGTGACGTAAAGTTGTGTCATTTTAAGTGAGAAAGAAATAAATGATGGAGGAGAAAGAGTGGACAAAAAAAAAATGTATGGGTCCCACCTCTTTTGAAAGTAAAATAACACAACATATGTCATTTAGAAGGACAAACATTTGATATTAAAAAAAAAAAGGACAAACATTTTTTCCATTTCCTATTTCATGAAAGGGTTTGTTTTTTCTGATGTTACTTTAGATAATTTTATCTAATGTTCATCAAAACGACGTCGTTTTGGGACGAAAATCATGGTATTTTTGTAATTTTAATTTATTTCAGGATTATAATAGTCTTTATCACTTTAATTTTTTTATTTTTTAACCCCAAAACGACGTCGTTTCGATGAACATTAGATAAAGTTATCTAAAGTAACATCGAAAACTTTTTTCCCTTCATGAAAACATGAAAGATAACCTCAACTTAGCGATTGATATTATGATTTATACCCATTGGGCTAGTGCAAGCAAGACCGGTATTAAACAAACTGTCATCCATATATGATTTTGATAACCAAAGTATCTTTCATCAATAAAAAGACACAACTGCCTAATTAAATGTTGAACACTCGGGTAAGTATACATGCCATGACAACAACTTTTCATGCATTCAACAAAATGAATTTTCTGTTGTCAGGCGCGTATATATATAAGGGTCAAGAGTAAAACACACAAACATGACTCAAGTCTCCATTAGAAATATAACAAAGAAGATATAATTGTTTTCCCCTCTTAAGAAGTACTAAACAACACTAGAATCACATCTCATGTGTTAAAAGGAAAGTAAGTTTTTCTTTTTGGCTTTCTTCTTCCTACCTAATAGCCTTTTCCACAAATTTCGACCTCCAGATTTCTTGGCAGGTACAATGTCCAAAGAATTAACAGTAGCACTGTCATCCTGGCTTTTGAGTCCGTTCAAAACTAAAATCTTTTCCTGGGGCTGTATAAAACCAGGAATGCTGTTGGGACTGGAGTTTCTGTCACTTGCTTTGCAAACTTTGGCTTTAATATCATCATCAGCTAGCATATCAAGTAGAGAACATCTATTTTTCACTTTCATGTCTTTTAGGGGGACAGTAGTTTTGTTTGTTATTGTATGACGATGGTTGGCAATGACATTGTCAAAAAGGGATGCATCCTTTGGTGCAGCCGTTGCCTTCAACTGCTTCCCAAGGTGAATGATGGTTTCTTGACAATCTGCCAACTTTTCTGAAGCAGCTGTTATCTCCCACCCCTGCAAGATTGATAAACAATCCCCAACTCAATACCAGTATATATTGCAATGGAGATAAATTTGCACAAGTAAGCAATCAACTCATCACTTTAGTTACTGCACCATTGTTGTTAAACTTATACAAGGGTAGATGCTCTTGCTTTTCCTGTTTTTTGTCTATTGTTTTGATCAATATCTATCAGGTCTTCATTTTCATTTATTTGTATCCACTTTTAATTCTTTACAGGATTTTGCCTGAATTGTTTCTTAGTGGAACTGACAGGAAATAGGAAATATGAAGACCCTAGTTGATGATTGGAAATGATATGATAGATGGAAAATCAGACTATTTCAATTAGATGCCCCTGATTCATTTTTAAGTTACCTTGAAAGTTGCAACATAAGTTTTTTCCTTCATCAAAAGTAAAAAGACAAGTTTTTTTGTTTGTTTGATATTCTCTGCTTATTCAAATTAGTGGAAAGTACCACGCAAAACAGATATAAAGTTGTCAATATAAATTATAGTCTGTTTTCATTACTAATCTAAAATCTTATCCCAACTTCCTCACTAAAATCATAGCAGCATAAGCCTTAGATATAGTTATTTTCAATTATGTTTAACCGGAAGGAAACAAATCATGCTGTGCCAATTTCAATGCCAATTTCTAAGTCTCGGAGATTTGTATGCATGAAATATTTCTGGCATGCAAAGCTTAAAATGCAATCGAAGAATGCATGAAGTAACTTGCTCATCATGCTCCAGTCTGGGATTTCCCAACTTTAGTTAAAAATCAAGTTAACTTCATATAAAATCAAATACTGTTTAGTGCCAAATTTGTATCTAGATGAATAATGCTTCAACTCGATTAAGTTTTCCAGAATTTCATACAGGACAATAGTAATCTGACTACGAGTCAACGAGTAATGGGAATAAAATGAGATGAGCTTACAGTTTGTGGCGGCTTATCTTTCTGAGTAATGTCATCATTCGAGCACTTCTGTGTCATGCTGAGAAGATAAATTTGATACGTGAGTGTGACAATCCTCAAATAAGAAATGAAAAGCTAAAAGTTCAAAAATTATTACATTACAAATACCTTTCAAGCTGGAGCTGAATTTCAACACATCTGGTCTCTAATTCTTCACAATAGAGGTTCTTGTTCTCGAGTTCCACTTCTAATGCCAAAACCTTGTGATGAACCTCTTTCAATTCAGATTCTGTAAGCTGAACGTCAAGATCAGCATTTGCGAATGCGTGATTTTGTATTTGATCCCCAAGCATTCCATTGGATTCTTTCAAGGTTTGTAACTCCAATCTCAAGCTGGCAATAGTTTTCTCTGATTCCTGACGTTGATTCTTAGCTGATTGAAGCCTCCCTTCCAAGGCTTCCTTTTCAGATTCAGAACTGATCTCTTTATCTTTAATATTTTCAAATTCTCCCTTTTCATCATATTGCATCTCTTCAGCTGGAAGTTCATGACAATCTGAATTAGTTAATGCAGGCAAACATGATAACTGTTCGCTGGGAAGATGCAGCTTATCTGCAACCTCAAACAGCCCAATTTCGGCTTCATTTTCACTTTGTGTCTCATCCCAATCAAATTGTTTTTTAATGGCATCCCTCATACTGGAAACATCCTGAAGTGAAAAGCAGTGATTCATAGTCCAATCCAAAGCTGTAGTTAATTCTGCAGCAAATTTTTCATGATCAGCCTTGGCATTCAGTAAATCGTAACACACTTGGAGAAAGTGCTGTAAGACATTACTGAGTTCAGATGTTTTCCACTGGAAAACACGGACAATGTAGTTTGTTGGCATTCTTTGGTTCTTATGTGTACGGCTCTTTCCATCTCTTTGGCACAAGGGATCTGAATTATCATTATCCTCAGCAGGCATGCTGATCCCTTCAATAAGCTCAATTATCTTGGTTATTGATTTACTCAGATCTCTCTGAGATTGTTGTTTTATTCTCTTCATTGATGAGATCTCAGCATCATTTACTTCACCAGGTGGATCTACCACAGAATCATTCAAAGGTTCCCATGAGGTTTGGTGACCAAAATGGGGGGGATTAGATGCACCAACTTGACCGGATCCTTTGCTTGAATCAAATCCACATCGATCTAGATTATTTAGATACCTCAAAGCCAATCTAATATCCTCAAGTATATCATCAGGGTTCTTATGAGTGACACAGTTTTGTTCCAAGATCACTTTTTCTACATCCTGAAGCCAACCAGGAATATTATTACCCTTTAATACGTCAATGGAACACGTTTCCTGATTTGATGTTGAGAACCCTAACAAATGATCAGACACTGGAAAGATATCCTTACCTATAACTTCAGAAGTAATCTCACTTGGTCCTCTATCAGAGAAGCCATCTATTTCATTAGTTGATTCTAAAGAAACATGAGAAATTTCAGGGGCTTTTTCAACAGAGACCAGTGCTAATTTTTCCATTTCAGCAAAGTCATCCATAAGATTTATATCTGAAGGTTCAACACTTTTGCATGACAATGATTCCTTCTGTTTTCCACTTCTAAAGTGCTCCAGTTCTGAAATCAATGCAGAAGCGCATGATTCGGCACAGCTAACCTTGTCATCACTACCACTGTCAGACATTGATGCCATAGAGAACTCTTGCAATGCAAGATTACTACTAGGCTGCCCCAAGGTCGCTTGACTTTTAGATTCAATCTGTGACTCAAGTTGCAACAGTTTAGAAGCTGTGCGAGCAAGCATTACTCTTGAGAATTGGACTTCATTTGTTTTCCTATTTAGGGATTCTCTCAAATTCTTGTTTTCTTTTTCCACAGCACATAGTTTCTCAGTCAAAGTAGTGATTTGTCTAATCGCAGGAGAACTGTCAACAGAAGATTCAACCACTAAACTGGTTGAGTTCAACTTTTTCCTCCTCATTTCAAGTGAATCCTGCCTCAATATTTCAATTTCATTTTTCATTTTTGCCAGGGCAGCAGGACTTGGTAACCGTTTATGAGCCAGACCACGCAGCCTCTGGCATTCTGATTCTAACTTGGCAATTTTTTTTACACTCTCTAAGTACTGCTTATGAGAAGCATCAGCTGTTCGACGATACAATTCTCTCTCCTCATTACGAATATAAAGTTCCTTTTCAAGCACTTGAGTCTCATACTTCAGACAAGTGTTATCTTTCTCGGTGGACTCTAATCTGATCATCAGTGCGTTATGATCTGCCTCTGCTTGAGCCAATTGTCTTTTCAGATCTTCAATCAAATTTTCTTTAGTAACAATATATTTATTAAGATGAGAATTTTCAAGCCCAGATTTAGCAAGCCTTTTACTGGTCTCTGATAGCTGCTCCTCCAAAACCATTTGTGTTTGTTCAAATTCTTCTGAAGCCTTCATCACAGCATCATGAATCCTTTGCTGTTGTTCTTCTCTTCCAAAACGCAACTGTTGCATACATTCCTTTAGAGCACCATCCAAATGCGCCACTCTTTCTTCATAAAGTAATAGCTGCTGCATAGCTTCATCAAGATCTTGCTTCATAGACAACATTTCAGCTTCTGCCTTCTCCCATCCTTCAAAGGAAGCTTTTATAAGAGACAGGTAAAAGTACTCTAAGAATAATGCATAATTGATTATTTTTCATGTCCCAAGTTAGATAGGGAAGAGGCCAGATAAATGAACACACACAGGAATGCATGAATAATACCTGCCACTGCTTCTTGCACAATTTTTGTTTGTTTCTTCACCTGCTCATCTTTAGCATTACAATCAGAAAGAGCAAAAGCAAGCTTATCATTTAATCTTTTTAAGTCTTTCTCCAATTTTTCTTTTTCAGCTAAAAGTGCCTGTGCCTAAAACAGAAAGGCAAAACAACACAAAATATCAATTATTTTTACCAAGTAATAAAGCAAACATTATACCCCACAAAATTATGGGGAAGAATTCCAGGTCTCTTAACAAATAGGTACATCCAGAATTATTTTGTCCATTTTATAACTATACACTAATTCTGCACAAAGGGCCCAGGAAAAAGGTCCGTCTAGATTAGCATTTCATCTAACAAGTGTGAGTTGATAGTATGAAGGGGAAAGGAAGCATATTGGCAGCCAGCTTAATCAATATCTGAACCTGAAAATTCCATGACATTTACAAAAAGAGCAAAATATATCTGATCAGAACAGAACAATTGATGTTAGACATAATTACCTCACCATTTTCCTTTGAAGTGAGATTTGCTTTGTCAATTGCTAAAATTGTCTTCTCCGAGGACTTTTCCCCCCAAAAACGCATCCTGTGGTCTAACCCGAAGGAGTATGCTACTGTAGTCTGCATGGAGATTTTGGTCAGCGGAAAAGGAGTATGCTACTGTTGTCTAACAGGAAGGATGAGCTCATCATAAGAGTGAACCAAAATAACAACAATGATAACTTTTTCATGCAAATCAGTGATGCTATGCAAATAATCTGAAGTACTTTATAGTTTTCACTACTTTATCAATTATAGTATGAGCTCATTGAGAAGCACTATATCAATACTTGCCGTCACAAAAAGGGTTGCATTAAATTTTCAGGAATAGTCAGGATGGAAAATGATTTGAACTGATCCAAGCCTAGCTCAAACTCATTTTATTGGTCCAAGCTCAGCTATTGAGTTCAATGAACCAACATTTAGTTGAGCTTTTTCCCTCAATGAATCAGGTTCAAATTTGTATCTAAATGAAATATATATTTTTTATATATTTATATTAAAAAAAAAATTAGTGAAACCAAAAACAAAATCAAAAGCTAACATATATGAAATCAAGGGCAATGTTATACTTACTACCATTTTAAGCTTATTACATTTATTACCTGATTAGTTATTATTGGATCAATCTAAAATCAACGGTTGAAATAGAAAAAAAATATATGCCGTCAATTTTGGATTCATCCAAGGATAACTAATCAGGTAGTAATTAAATCAATACATTATTATTATCACTATTCTTATAAAATACTCTATATAGTATATATCAAGTCAGCCCATGGGCTAATGAGCCAACTGTAATCTGATTTAACAAATCAGTAAAAATTCTCAGCTCATTTCTAAACCCTCAAATTTTAACCATATGAGTGTATTGTCATAGCAAGGTTGCAGATTTATTCTATACTTTTATGGTGTTTGACCATAAACTTACCATCATACAGAAAAGGTGTATTACAGTGTTATTTACATAAACATCTACATTGTGGCATAATCAAATTTCATAAAATATCAGCACAACATCAACCTTAAAAAATAAAAAAAAATCTCTATCTGCTGAAAATTTATTCACATGCAACAGAGAGGTTAAGAGGAACTTTTTAATTGAAATAATTAAAACTAAAATGATGGTACAGTAACATAACTGTAAGAGGTGTGTGCTTTAGTTTCTGACCTCTTAAGAATGAAGTGGGAGGGTTGTGCTTGTGCATGGATCATCCAAGACAAAAAAGCGATAGGTGAGACCCCATGGCGAAGAGATTCAATTCTGTCACGTCGAGTAAAATTTAGTTAACGAGACACGAAATGGTTACAAGTGTGGAGGAGGGAGGCAGCAATATGAAGCAGTTTCAGTGTTGAGAAGCAAAGAGAAGATTAAAACTTAAAACCAGAGACATAAATAATGAATATGGTAACGTGCAATGTTTCATCAAGTACCTACGCCCCAAAGGAGACTGGGCACCACACTCCAACCCACAACTGTCTCAGCTTTCTTTTTAAAGAGCAGAAGAGTGGGTTTCGTTGACAAGAAAAAATGAATTAATTTTGGTGGTGTTTGGTATAAATTTATTGGTTGACATACCGAAGGTGGGTTGAGGATTTTTTTTACCGTTTTTGATATGATTAAAAGTAAAAAAATGTCAGGATATTTTTTTCCATTATTGTCAATAGGGGTATTCATCAACCGATCCAAATCGCGGTGATCGAACCTGATCGAATCGAATAAACTGAAAATCGAAAAAAAATAACAAATTTTAATTAAATTGGATTGGTTTTCGGATTGGTTGATGAAAACTGATCTAATATATTAATTCTCCTCTACCTATTTGGATATTTCCTCAATCATAGCCCAAAAATTTCTAAACCCAATACCCATTAACCCATCAACTAAATTCAAGAAAAAATCTAGTCGCGTCTCATCAACAAAATTTCATATGTATATAACTTCATATCTAATTGCCCAAAAAAAATATTATATTATCATTTATTAATGCTTTTGCATTTCAATTTTTTTTTTAAAAGTCAATCAATATATACAAAAGATGTTTTTCCACAATAATCATGAAACGAATTTTAAGATTTTCGAAAAACCGAAAACCGATCCAATCCAAACTGAAAAAAATTGGATCAGATCGGATCAGATTTGGAAAAAATCCAAGTCAAATGGATGATTACATGATCAAATCAAAGGGATTGGATCAGATGAATTTTGCTTCCAAAACCGATCCAATTCAGACCGCGAACATCCCTAATTCTCGCTTTTTAATTAATGGGGCAGGATATTCTTACACCGGTGTAAGAGTTAGAAGTCTTACACCTAATCTTGACCATTGATCTACTTGTATCCAATGGCTCACATTACTAAAAAATTAGAGCCCTTAGATATTAGTGGGATCAACGGATAAGATTAGGAGTGTAACTTACATTGGTGTAAAATGATCTTGACCCTTAATTATATATGGGAAAAAATAATTGCATCTCAACTATGGTATTATTTTTCTCACCAATTGGAAAACATATTTTCATGTTTTGAGACAAAAATGTCCTTATACAATATATCAGCAGATGTGTAAAAATAAATAATTTTGTCATTTTGGTTCACCGTCAATATTTTACAATGAATAAAATATAGCATCAGTAAAATTAACCAAACTTTTCTGGAAAAAAAATTGGCCTATCAAACATCTTTTCGTAACTTATTTGCGAAAATTATTTCCCACATTCCCGAAAATCTTTTTTCCACGATAAAAAATATCTGCTTTACCAAACGTGCCTTCAATAAAAAACACTCGGAAAATGAAGTGTAGGACCATGCGTCAAAATAGTAATATTTAATCTACTACACTGTTTATTGTAAATACTGGGGTAAGTTTGGTGCGGCGAAATTTTTTGGATTTTCGGGAAATTTTTTTATTTTTTTAAATTAAAATATTATCCAATAATATTATTAGAAGGGTGATATTTTTTATTTCTCATGACGTAAATTTTTTTTTATAATATTTTTGATCATCTTTTGGCCTATTAGATAATTTTTTAGTAATATTTTCAAAAAAATATTTATTTTCCTCATATATTCTTGAAAATCAGGAATTAAAATTTTTTATTCCCATATATTAAAAAAAATTCTCTTTTACCAAATGCATAATTCAAAAATCTACCGTAATTTATTTTTTTACTGTTTATTCCTTATATTGTTTTTATCACTTACTTTTTTTATGATCTTTTTCATCAAGTTCATTTTTTTTTTTTTTTGGGTAAACTCATCAAGTTCATTTTAATACAATTAAAATTTGAACTAATTTATTTATTTTATTACTGTTTTGCCCGTATCAAAAGCACTATTCTATCATAAAATCTGTCATATAAGCAACTCTCTTTTTTAGTTGTACATCCTACTTTTGTTTGTTCTCCTTAACAAATTGATTATTTGAGAAAGTTAGTCAAAATATTTATACAACACAAAAGGTAAAATGAATATGAACATCACAATGTACAAGCCAAGGACAAAAAAATTAAAATAATGTTTTTAATTAAATATTACGTATTTATTACAGTTTTAGGAAAAATTACGTATTTATTGCACACTGTGACGCCTCAGTGAGGAGTCTCACCCTAAGGGGAATACGCCCAAATGGAGCGTCTCTTATGAGGTGTTGACACGTGTCACTTTTTTTTCTCTCCAAAAAAACAATTAATTTAATCATAAAACTTCTAAATGCCATAACTTTTGACTCGAGTATGTATCATTTGATATATTTTATTTTCACCAACATAATTTAAATTTAAATCAAGTAATCCTTCTTCCTTAGATATTTAGAATATTTATTTAATTATTTTCTTTATTAATACAGATTTTTCAAATTGATTTTTGAGTTTAAATCACAAATCAAATCTTCATTTTGTTTTCCTTATTAATAATAATTGTTGCTTTTAATTTAAATCACAAACCAAATTTTTTTATAATAAAAATACAAAACTTTATTTTTTTAATTCAAATCACACATCAAATCTTGATTTATTTTTTGTATTAAATCACAAACGCAGAACTGAGAGGCTTCTGAGTTTAAAAATGTGACACGTGTCAACACGTGTCAAAACCTAACACATCACCAATCACGTCTAAATTCGGTTTCAATCAAGAGGCAGTTACGCCTAATTTAGGTAATTTTATTTTTGAAAAACATTCATAAGTCATCATTAATTTCAGACAACGAATAATAACCCGGAAGCTTATAGCATTAATCATTAATTTTAAAAATAATATTCTTCTTCCTTAGAAATTTAGAATATTTATTTAATTATTTCCTTTATTTCTACAGATTTTTCAAATTGATTTTTCAGTTTAAATCACAAATCAAATCTTTATTTTGTTTTTCTTATTAATAATAATTTTTATTTTTATTTTGTATTTAAATCACAAACCAAATTTTTGTTATAATAAAAAAAAATTATTATAAAAAAAATTTAAATCACAAATCAAAATTTTATTTATTTATTTATATTAAATCACAAATTCAGAACTCAGATGTTTCTGAGTTTAACCGCTCTTATAATACCATTCTTGCAAATTAAAATTATGTTTGTGAGAAATAAAATATGTCAAATGAGATGTCATTGCGTAGATCTTGAAAAGTTATGTGGAATCAAAAAAAGAATTACCTGATTTGGATACTCGAGTCAAAAGTTATGGCCTTTAGAAATTTTATAATTAAATTATTCTTTTTTTGGAAAAAAAAAAGTGACACGTGTCAACACCTCACGAGAGACGTCCCTTTTGGGCATCTTTCCTTAGGGTGAGACTCCTCAATAGTGCGTCACAGTGTATAATAGATCCATAATTTTTTCCAAAACTGCAATAAATACGTAATTATTTAATTAAAAAACATTATTTTATTTTTGCCACAAGGCAAGTGTTATATTGTATGCATTCAAGATATAAGAGCCATCATCCTTTTCTAAAAATTCTTTTCATTGTCGGGACAAAAATTAACTCCGCAACTGTTAAAATTTTATAATTTTGAAGAATATAACAAGAGATGATTCCACTTCCTTCCAAACTAATGAAAAGACTAATTATATGATGGGAATTG